GGCCAGATGCTGTCTCTATCAAGAGGTACAGAGCCACCGTTCATGCCTGCAGCACTGCATTCTGGGCCAAAAACAATCGTGTCTCTCAAATCCAACACTGAAGTGACTTAAACTGCAGTTCATCCACTGGCCACTAGAGGCCGGCTGCAGAAGAGAGTCAGTCCCATAGACCCCCATGTTAAAACTTTACCGCAGAACAAAACATGTTTACAGCCTGGTCAAAAAGTGGTTTGTTGGAGTGTTAGCTGTGTTAATGGGGTGTTAGTGGTGGTAATGGTGTTAATGGGGTGTTAGTGATTTTAACACGGTCTTAATGGGGTGTTAGTGGTATTAATAGGGTGTTAGTGGTGTTAAAACGGGGTGTTGGTGTTAATGGGGTGTTATTGATTTTAACGAGGTGTTAGTGGTGTTAATGGGATGTTTGTGGTGTCAATAGAGTGTTAGTGGTGTTAATGGGATGTTAAGGTGGTGTTAGTGGTGTTAATTGGGTGTTAATGGTGTTAATGGAGCGTTAGTTGTGTTAATGGGGTGTTGGTGTTAATGGGATGTTAGTGGTGTTAATGGGATGTTAGTGGTGTTAATGTGGTGTTAATATGGTGTTAGTGGTGGTAATGTGGTGTTAGTGGTGTTAATGGGGTGTTAGTGGTGTTAATGGGGTGTTATTGGTGTTAATTGAGCGTTAGTGGTGTTAATAGGGTGTTAGTGGTGGTAATGGGATGTTGATGGTGTTGATAGGGTGTTAGTGGTGGTAATGGGATGTTTGTGGTGTCAATAGAGTGTTAGTGGTGTTAATGGGATGTTAAGGTGGTGTTAGTGGTGTTAATGGGGTGTTAATGGTGTTAATTGAGCGTTAGTTGTGTTAATAGGGTGTTAGTGGTGGTAATGGGATGTTCATGGTGTTAATGGGGTGTTAGTGGTGGTAATGGGTGTTAGTGGTGTTAATGGGTGTTAGTGGTGGTAATGGGGTGAGTATTTTTGTGGAGTATTTATGGAGTTTATTAGTGGAGTATTTCTAGAGTGTTAATGGTGTGTGTGTGTGTGTGTGTGTGTGTTCTACAGTGACATGGAGAAGCAGAAGGCATCTCTGCTGGACGCTCTGTGCCGGAAGGGCTGTGCTCTGGCCGATCAGCTGATGGAGCCGGTGGATCAGGACGGTGCCAGCGCTGGAGAAGTGGGCGGGTCTGAGGATGAGCCGGGGGGCGTGGCCAAAGCTTTGACTGACACATTCTGGGAGGTGCAGAAGTGGGCGGAGCTCACCGACTCTAAGGTATGCTGCTCAGGACTGACTCCTTAATTTAATATTTAACAATATTGTTGATCTGCTGCATTGAACTGAACTGAGCTGGACGATGACTTGATCTGAATTGACTCCTGACTCGATATCTGCTGTTTCATTTGACAAAATGATTTCCTCTCTACAGGTTTTAACATTTTCCTACAAACACGCACTGGCAAACAAAATGTACGCGAGGGCCTTGAAGTACGCGAATAAGATCGTGGAGGACAAACCCAGCAAAGAGAACTGGAAGAACTGCACACAGGTAAGCGTCTTAACTAGACTCTATTTATCTGATCACAAATACAGTAAAACAGTGAAATATTATTAGAATGTAAATCGTCTGTTTTCTATCTGAATATACAGTAAAGTGTAATTTATTCCTGTGATCAAAGCTGAAGATCTGATGATCAAGAAACATGTCCAAAAGCATTTTTTTATTGAATCTTATGTGACATTATAAATGTCACTTTTGATCAAATTGATGCGTCCTTGATGAGTAAAAGTATAGTAATTTCTTTAAAAAAAACAGTTTGGTCACAGTTGGAGCTGTTAATATAGCATGCAAATGTTGTTCTGGTGTAAATCAGACGAGTTAATGATCAGTCAATTACACCTCCTCATCACCGTTACTAACAAGTTACTGTTACTGACGAGTTTCTGTTACTGACGAGTTACCGACAAGTTACTGTTACTGACCAGTTAGCGATGAGTTACTCTTACAAGTTACCGTTACTAATGAGTTACCGACAAGTTACCGTTACTGACGAGTTACTGTTACCGATGAATTACTGACGAGACTAGTTATCGGCAAGTTACCGACGAGTTACTGTTACAGACGAGTTACCGACGAGTTACTGTTACTGACGAGTTACTGGTGAGTTCCCAACAAGTTACTGTTACCGACAAGTTCCCGACGAGTTACCGTTACTGACGAGTTACTGTTACTGACGACTAGTTATCGGCGAGTTAACGACAAGTTACTGATGAGATACCGACGATTTATTGACGAGTTATTGTTACTGACGAGTTACCGACAAGTTACTGTTACTGACGAGACTAGTTACCGACAAGTTACTGTTACTGACGAGAATAGTTACTGACGAGTTCCCAACAAGTTACTGTTACGACGAGTTCCCGACGAGTTCCCATTACTGACGAGTTATCGTTACTGACAAGACTAGTTATCGGCGAGTTAACGACGAGTTACTGATGAGATACAGACGAGTTATTGACGAGTTATTGTTACTGACGAGTTACTGACGAGAATAGTTACTGACGAGTTACCAACAAGTTACTGTTACCGACGAGTTACCGACAAGTTACTGTTACTGACGAGAATAGTTACTGACGAGTTACCGACAAGTTACTGTTACCGACGAGTTCCCGACAAGTTACTGTTACCGACGAGTTACTGACGAGTTCCCAACAAGTTACTGTTACCGACGAGTTATCGTTACTGACGAGACTAGTTATCGGCGAGTTAACGACGAGTTACTGATGAGATACCGACGAGTTATTGTTACTGACGAGTTACCGACAAGCTACTGTTACCGACGAGTTAACGACAAGTTACTGTAACTGGCGAGTTACCGACAAGTTACTGTTACCGACGAGTTACCGTTACTGACGAGTTATCGTTACTGACGAGACTAGTTATCGGCGAGTTAACGACGAGTTACTGATGAGATACCGACGAGTTATTGTTACTGACGAGTTACCAACAAGTTACTGTTACCGACGAGTTACCGACAAGTTACTGTTACCGACAAGTTACCGTTGCTGACGAGACTAGTTATCGGCGAGTTAACGACAAGTTACTGATGAGATACCGACGAGTTATTGACGAGTTATTGTTACTGACGAGTTACCGACAAGTTACTGTTACCGACGAGTTACCGACAATTTACTGTTACCGACGAGTTACCGACAAGTTACTGTTACTGACGAGTTACTGACAAGTTACTGTTACCGACAAGTTACTGTTACCGACGAGTTATTGACGAGTTATTGTTACTGACGAGTTACCGTCAATTTACTGTTACCGACGAGTTACCGACAATTTACTGTTACCGACGAGTTACCGACAAGTTACTGTTACCGACGAGTTACCGACAAGTTACTGTTACCGACGAGTTAACGACAAGTTACTGTAACTGGCGAGTTACCGACAAGTTACTGTTACCGACAAGTTACCGTTGCTGACGAGACTAGTTATCGATGAGTTAACGACGAGTTACGGACGAGTTACTGTTACCGACGAGTTACTGACAAGTTACTGGTACTGACTAGACGAGTTACGACCAATTAACGACGAGTTACTGTTACTAACAAGTTACTGTTACTGACGAGACAATTTACAACGAGTTACCGTTACTGACGAGTTACCGACGAGTTATTGATGGGGTGACTTACTGATGAGTTAACGTTGAGGATGCGTTGCGTTATTGACGAGTTGTGGTGTCCCTCAGCTGCTGCGTTCTCTGGGCTGGTCTCACTGCGTCTCCTACACGGAGAACTGGCTGCCCATCATGTTCCCGTCGGACTTCACACCGTTCTAACGTCTTAAACTGAGGAGACTCTCAATGCCTTCTGGAAACATCAGAAACCAAACACCTCATATCACACGGATCCCACAATGCCTTCCTGCGGTCGGATCTCTGCACACACACAGTTCCTATCATATCTGAGTTCGTCGTATAATAACCTGCATTATGTTGTTTGAAATGTGATTTCTGGGCATTTGCTCGGTGGACATTTTTCCCTCAACGACGACAGTGCAAATATACAAGGCAATATGGTGGACGTCCAGTTGAGTTCTGTGGGTCAAATGTCAATATAAGAAAATATCATTTCTTTTTTCTTTTTAAAATTTTTTGGGGGTGAATTTTTGTTTTGTTTTGTTTTGACCTTTGTGTATGTCAAATGTATGCATGTTTTATAAAGACACGGGTCATTTTATGTTCATTTCAGTTTTGTGCCGTTCTGAAGTAAGACTGTGTGATTGAAAGTCGTCCATCTTCAGTTTTCTTCTGGATTTTAAGTGAAACAGAGATTGTCATCTTGTGTGTCTGGAATATCATTCAGGGTTTAGACATGGTTGAAAACCATTTTTTTTTTTTTAAAGAAGAAAAAAAAGCCAGCAACTCAAGGTTTCACCAGGAACCAGACGTGACATCATATCCTGCTTTCACGGTTTTTTGTGTGTGTTTTTTAATCACGTGTGTTTGCGTTGTTGATGATCAGGGCTCGAGGCGTTTCCAACCACAGGTTCTTCAATAATGGCCTTAAATATTCACACTCTCCCGTCCACCCATGCGTTTCTTCAGGAAATATTACGTTATTCTGTATCAAAAACCCTTGAATATCTTCAGATATATTTATGGATGTCTTGTATTTATGAAGTATAAATGAATACTAGGTAATGCCAATATTTTAAAGTCATTTTAATTCATGCGTAGAGTAGGTAGGTGTTATTTTATATCCAGTTCTCCTCGCGAGACGTTTCAGATGTTACAGACGGTTATTTTGTAAACGCGGTAAATGTGCTGAACGGTGTATTTGATGAAGATTCTGAATAAAATGATCTGGAACGGACAACATAATCCTCATTTTTTGTGACAAACGGGCTTTATTTAGGAGCCATTCGTGTTAAGAACAGCAGAATTGCATTTTATTACAAATGTATTTTTAAAAAATTGTTTACCTTTTTAGATTGACGCATAATGTGCTAAACAATATTTCATAATTTTCTTTGTTTAGCGTTTTTCTTTATATTTATCAAAAAAAAAAAGAACATCAGTATAGGGAAATGCACAAATGCTCCATGTAAAACACTAAAATAATTAAAAAAAATATATATTGATTGAATTAAAAAAATTAACAAACCAAATAATCAATTTTTATACCTTTGACAATGATAAATCTTATACAATCGCTATATGAAAATAATAATAAAAAATTAAAACACAAACCCACTGCAAAACATTGTTCTAAATTACATAACAAACATTATATAAAACCAATTTAATTCTGGGTTTCCTCCCTTTCCAAACGTGACTTAAATTTCAGTCTGTTCATACTGGAATCTATAAAAACACACACATATATACAGTAGTGTACACGGCAAAAACATTAAATACATTTTTTGTTATTCAAAACCACAAGTTGATTTGAGTTGGAAATTTACTTTTATTATTTTTATTCGATTCCAAATCTAAAATTTCTGATTCAAAGGATTGTGTCAATCACAACATGTCAGTTGTATTTGTACAGTCCTATTATTATTATTACGCTGCTATATCGTTGTTGAAGGTTATGGCCAGAGTCTTCATTACATTCCCTAAAAATGCTGATTTGATGATTTATAAATGTGTTAAAAAGTGTTCACAGTCAGCCCTAAATATTGTTTCTAAAAGCAAAAGTGAATTGTCTGCAGTGTGAATGGCGTTGGATCGCAGACATGCTTCTCTACCTGTGCCGGCAGTGTCGTTTGGAAAGCCTTCTTAAAGTGGTGCATAAAGTCATCAGATTCTCATGGTAGCCGAGTAAATCCTCACCTCATCCATCTCTGTCAGCAATGTAGTGCTAAAAGCTTTCTGAAAGTCCCCTATAAACACCAGGTCGGCCTGATACCGGACCTTGTTTGCGAAGATCAGCGTGGTCTTCGGGCCGCAGAAGTGGCGCATGGTGACGAGGAGCTCGGGGAGATAGTCGTGGTGATAGACCACATCGGCGGCCAACACGTAATCGTAGTGGTGTGTGGAGCGGGGAAACGTCTCCTCCAGTTTGTAACCCCAAGCCAACGCTGTAACCCGAGGCTCGTGTCTCCAATGATGCCTGGTGTTCCGGTTCAAGTTGGACCTCAGATTGCCAAGGATTTCTGGGAGATCCGTGGCCGTTAGTTTAGCACCTGCAAATCAGTGACATCACTTAGTCCTGCTTGTTCTGAAACCAGGTGTGCGACAGGGTTTGAGATGAGTTTTCTCGAAAACACTCCCCAAGACTTACCCAGAAGTGTGGCAACTATCGAGAGAAGACCCGTTCCCGCTCCGAGCTCCAGGGTCAGTTTGTCGAGGAGATTGATCTGCTGTCGGCCTGTCGGGGTATCCAGGAATCGGCAAAGGGCCAATGCCTACAACATTCAAAACCAAGTGTTCATAGACTCCATGCATTTTACATTCTCACTAAGCACACACAGTTTCTTCCTGATCTGACTGGTTGGCTGAATGTTTCATGCTCACCGCTGGCCATACCGTACTGCCATAATGGTCTACGGTTTCCTGAATCCTGATTTCATGACCTAGAAAGGAGTAGGTTTCCTTGCCATTACTGTAGTAGACAGTGGGAGCCCAGGTTCTCTGTTTAGGTGTTTCTGTGATGTCCGGTTCAGCTGAGGGAAAGACAGATGAAGGGTATCCCGTCAAATAAGTATCCATATAACCACATTGGTATTAAGGGTCAATATGATTTTGCCAAGTAAGACATATTTTGTTGATCCTGGATAACATTCCTGACTGACAAGAATTTCCCAATCCCTAAACCTAACCACAACCTCCTTAAAATCAGGAATATTCTAGAGGGTAAACAATAAACCCTTGGTTGCCTAATCTGTAAATTTGTCCCTCAAATCTGATTGAATAATTTGAATGTTCCAGGATCAACAACAATGTACATTGGGACTCTCGTTCACCCTGCAAGCCTAACCTTCTTCCTCCCCAAATCTTCCAGAGTCCTGGACTTCTTCCTGTACTTGTTTCTCCTTCGTGTCGTTTTCTAAACTCTGAGTATCGTCAGACTCCTGCTCTTGTTCCAGTTCCTCTGCATTGTCTCCTGTCTCGCTCATAGAGTTCGGTTCCCCAGCGTCCCGCTTGCTTGACTCAAGGTCACCATTGTCCTCCACTTCCTCGCTAGTCTCTTGAACCTTGTCATCGTCCTTCTCTGATATCTTGCTGGTTGCCACGTAAATCCTCACATCATCCAACTCTTCAAGCAGTGCGATATCAAAATATCGGTGGAAGTTGTCGATGAAGCCGAGATCCGAGGCAAAGCGGACGTTGTTCGCCCAGACTAGAGTAGTTCCCGGCTGGCAGAAGTGGCGCATGGTGACCAGTAGCTCGGCCAAGAAGTCGTGGTGATACACCACATCAGTCGCCAACACATAATCATATTGGTGTGTGGATCTAGGGAAGGCCTCGTCCAGCTTGTGACCCCAGGAGAGTTCTGCTACCTGGGGCTCGTGCCTCCTCCGGCCTCTCGTGTTCCTGTTGAGGTTGCATGTGAGTTTACTCAGAATCTCGGGTAAATCCGTGGCTGTTAGTTTGGCACCTACAGAGCAATTTCAGTTATTATCTTGCAAGATACAAAACCAATAAGATTGACACCTCAATCTCATCACAGCACTTACCCAACAGCGTGACGACAACTGAAAGTAAGCCGGTTCCAGCTCCAAGCTCAAGAACTGATTTATCGAGTAAATCAATCTGTTGACGACCCTGTGGTGTTTCCAAGAATCGGCAAAGTGCAAGTGCCTATATGGAAAGACAAAAATCACATTTCAAAGGTGGACCGTGTTGTATTTGAAGGAGTAGCAGGGAAAACAACAACAATACAGTCCTTTTTAACAAAGGTGACTACTCTGAGTCTTAATGAAAGGAGTATTATTTTCTCTCTGGAACAAAGAGTTAGAAAAGTGGATTTTTGAAACTGTGTTTGGGCTACAGAGTTTGTCCTAGAGACCCCAAAGTTGGTCAGATTACTTTGCAGAACCACCTCTATCAGTGTACCAAATGTCATCATTTTCTTATGTATGGTTGATAGGGCTGCCATAGACTCCCATTCAGGATGAATAGTAAGAATACCAACAGATACAGTAAGGTCCCCTAATTAAAACATAACATATTTGTAATAATTTATACTTCATTGCATTATTCATTGTACTTCCTTGCACACAATCTATTGTTTTAATGCATATGTATTTACTTTTGTTGTTTTTGTGCTGCATATGTATGAATTCAGATTAATGTGAGATTGTTTTTGGCACATTAATTCGGTCCCTATCGGTTTCTCTGATTCCAGGCAAATGGTATGTGCTAAATGGATTGCACAGAAGGGAAACCCTCATTATAACTCTGGGGGTCGCATGAGGTCAACGCTGGTCAACCGCCCCTAAATCCTCTCTGAATCTTCTCCAGTTTCTTGACCGTCATTAAAACCCTCTGTAGGGTCCAGATATATTTTGATGGTCAGGCACTGGAGACAGGGAGCCAAATTTAGACCATTTGGTAGATAGGAGAAAATCTCATTATAATGTTGAAAGACACAACTCACATTTTATAGGTGCACCATGTTTGTTTTGCTTGACTCTACGCCTGTTATCTTGGGCTTTATACTGATACTGATTGCCTTAGATGCAGCATCACACAAAAGTAAAGTTCTTTGGTTACTAATGTCATCGTAGATGTATTTGTCTCTTTCAGCAGCTGTAAGTGTCTCACCGCTGGCCATATAGTAGCACCGTAAGAATCGATGGACTCCTCGATTGTGATTCTCTGTCCCAAAAAATGGTAAACTTCTTTCTCAGGTCTGTAGTAAATTGCCGGTGCCAATGATCTCACGTTCTCATTCTCTGAAAGAAAAGCCCAAATCAGACTTTAATGCATTAGACAAGTGACTGTGGTCCAATTTTCCGAATGAATTACTGACCTGATTTCTGCTCTACGAATGTTGAATCCGTCTCAGAGCGGCCGTCTCCACTGTCCTTACTTTCAAGATCCATGTTGTCCTCCTCATTTCCATCTTCCAAATTTAACGTTTCCTCACGATTTTCCATAACAACGTATCCTGGTTTCCTTTGCACATCTTTATGATCATTTTCTTTAACCTGTTCCACAGCCATCAGTTTGACCACTGACCTAATCTCTGGCTTTGACTCGTTCTTGTCAACGTCTTTGACTTGTTTCTTCGCAACCCCTTCGGTCTGTTTTGACGTCACTGGTGCACTTTCATCTTTCACGGTGGCAGAGTAAATTTTAACTTCTCCGTTGTCTGCCAGCAAGGTGGTGTTGAATGTTTTTTTGAAGTTCTCCACAAAAACCAGATCTGAACCAAAGCGGGTCTTGTTGGCCCATATGAGGGTTGTTCTGGGCTGGCAGAAATGCTGCATGGTGACCAGTAATTCCGCTAGGAAGTCATGATGATAGACCACATCGGCTGCTAAGATGTAGTCGTACCTGTAGACTGAATGAGGGAAGGTCTTCTCGAGCTCATGACCCCACGAGAGCTCCGCCACCTGCGGGGTGTATCTGCAGCGGCCCCGCGTGTTTCTGGACAGATTGCATCTGAGGTTCCCGAGTACCTCCGGCAGGTCCGTTGCGGTCACCCAAGCACCTGGAGATGATTTATTTAGGGGTTGTAAGATCTCAAAAGTCGAAGATCCCAAAAATGAAGTTTATTAAAGCATACCAGTGGCACCTTGGGTTCACCGGCATCAGAATTAACCCAGAACTCTTAAACCTTTTATCCTGTTACAGTTTACGCCTCTTACTGTAAATGAAGTTGCTCTTGTTGCTCAGCTGTGGTCTGAGATGAGAAACCCCATTGTCTGAGATGTTTCACACCCATTCCCATTCTACAATTGATGATGACCATTTGCTGAGGTGTGTTCAACCCAAATGGTGAAGAAACAATTTAACTTCACTTCCTTCATCTCTATGATAGCCATTTTGGGGATGAGCTCATTCTAAAATATTTTTTGAATCTGGGTCAAGGCAGTGTATGATTTCTTACAGTCTGAATAACTGTATCTTTAGTACCTACCCAACAGACTGGCCACGATGGACACGAGACCTGTGCCGGATCCGATCTCCAGCACGGCCTTGTCAAGAAGATCAACCGTCGCTCGATTAGATTCAAGGTAGTGACACAGAGCCAGAGCCTAAATAAGCATTCGTGATGATTATTTCATATTGATAAACATCTATCAGCAGCAAATGTTCAAAGGGTTGGAGGTTTGTTGATGCCCCCTGGTGGCCCCTGGTTGAGACCCACAGCAACAAATGTAGTCGTGAAAACGATCAGTTTCAGACTGGTTTCTCAAACACTCCTACCACACGCCTGTCCCTGTCTGCCATTGGTCAATCAGTCAGAGAGTTGTGCCCCTAACTCACATGATTGGTTGAGTCAAACAAACACATCGATGTTGTCAGAGTGTCAACTACCAATGACTGACTGACGTGAAACTGACACACCAGAAAGTATTTGAACATCCAAACGAATGAGCAGGGTTATCTTTAATATGTACTCACTGCTGGCCAGATGACAGAACCATATGAATCAAGAGACTCCCAGATGTTGATCTCATGACCGGCGAAATAATGGATCTCCTTTCCAATGGAGGACAGAACACTGGGTTCCCAGGATGCCTTGCGCACACGGACTTCAACATCTGAAAAACAGATGCATTCCTCATGAAAATCTTTTCAGATGTAGTGTGTTTGCAGTCAGAGATGGAGAGAAGAAGGTAATATTGTGATTATTTGAGAGTAAATGTATATATGACAGTATAAGTGATGTACCGCCGGTGTTCAAGCGCTCGTCCGTCTCCGCTGTGGCGTTTCCAGATTGAGGACCATCCATGATGATATCAGCTCGGGCTCACTGACAGGATGGACAGGTTTAAAACACACATTATTTCGATTTTTTTTTGACCTGTTAAAATCTACTGATTCTACATTTTCTCAAACATTGTCATTTGTCAGATTAGTTCAAGATCCATGCAACTGAAACAAATAGAAATTTCAATAAAGTATCAAAAACAATGATGTGATGAGATCAGCATGTCATTAGACCTTAAACAGTTTGCACATGAGAAAAGGAAATGAGAGCGATCAGATCAACTACAGTAGTTTTTAAAGGTCAAAAGCGTCCACATTTACCTGGAATCACCTCTTACTGTATTTCCTCTAATGCATTTCACAGCTTGAGATGAAATCCCCGCTCTCTCTTCACTGCAGCTTCAGCGGTTCAGATCAGCAAAGGTGAGCTTTACTTTAACTCAGTCCCGTCCACAGTTATCCGCAAGTGCTTCTGCAACCACATCCTCAGCTAGGTTATAGACGAGCATCATCCAACACTCCAGCGTCACGCTGGCATCACTATATTTAGCTGGAGATTCACTAACCAGGCACAAACAGAGGACTAGAGCATGATGTAGGAGATGGGCAGTGCAGGTCTATTTGAGGAATCAAGCCTCTGTTTGGCACAAATAAGTCAGGAAAGTAAACACTAAAGCTGTGAGATAACAGAGCAGTTCAGAAAGCCAGCGTCGGTTATCTGTTTAGTTAGATGATATAGCTCTTATTCGACTCCATTCTCACTGCATATGATGTCTCTTATTGTTCAGAACTTAGAGTAAAACATATATACTGGATTTTACGAATATTTTACTTCTGGGAGAATCACAAAAACCTGTTAAGAACATGTGTGTATGTTCAGCTCATATTTCACCTCAAAAATCAAAAGAAAGATGTGATCAACATGCGGAGACTAGTCAGGAGTACAAAAGTTACCACAAGAAAAGTGGATTTTTGAAACTGTGTTTGAGCTACAGAGTTTGTCCTAGAGACCCCAAAGTTGGTCAGATTACTTTGCAGAACCACCTCTATCAGTGTACCAAATGTCAAAATTATAAACCCAACATTTTTGTTTTTGCCCCCATTTTTCATGAGCTGAACTCAAAGATCTAAGACTTTTTCTATGTTCACAATTATTTCTCTCAAATATTGATGGCAAATCCGTCTAAATCTGTGTTAGTGAGGACTTCTCCTTTGCCGAGATCATCCATATCAAGATGAGGATTAGACATCAGGATTATTGCACAGGTGTGCCTTAGGCTGTCCACAATAAAAGGCCTCTCTATAATGCGCAGTTACAGTAATCCCCCAATACAGTAAACCTGCACATTTTAGTGTGGCCTTTCATTTGTGAATGTTTTTGTGGTGCATATGTATATGTTGAATTCAGATTAATGTGAGATTGTTTTTGCCCATTAATTGGGTCCCTATCGGTTTCTCTGACTGCAGGCAGTTGGTATGTGCTTAATGGATTCCACAGAAGGGAAACCAAATATAACACTGATTATAACTCTGGGGCCGCATGAGGTCAACGCTGGTCAACCACCCCTAAATCCTCTCTGTATCTTCTCCAGTTTCTTGAATGACTGTCAAAACCCTCTGGAATCGGTCGGTTGGGGATTGAACGTCTTCTCCATGTAGGGTCTGGATGTATTTTGGTGGTCGGGCACTGGAGACATTATCTCCTTTCTGCCCAATGGGGTAAATGTGGGTCAGTGTCATTATGATGAAATGATTGGCTTTCCTGCAGGAGGGTGTTTTCCTAATCTCTCTTCTGCAGTATGGTGTATGGTGTGTGTGTGTGTGTTTGCGTGATGTAATGACACTGCCAGACTCAGCACATGATACCAGTAATCAAATATCTCCGTATATCATCATCAGACACGTACTCTGAGTAACCACAACATGTTTGTAATGCAGGTCATCATGAACACATCTGCTTACTGGCGTCTCAGCTCAGAAACTATACAACATATCCGTTCTACTTCTTATTTGGGCGTTTTTACCATCCAGAAGTGCCAACGTTTAAGAAGCAATAGTTTAGAGAAGGAAGAGCACATATTATCATTAGACTGTTTCATGTTTATTTCCTAGTAACGAAAAGCCAAATGTCTCCAAAAGTCACAGCAGCGCTCACGACTCCCGAGAACAGCAGAAATATTGATTTACAAAGGGCATATTTGCAGGTATACAGATTGTAATGTAAAGTCATCATGAAATAATGTTCCATGTTCATCAGGACTGGATTTTCTCCCATAACAACAACAGCATAAACATATTTGACAATTACTTCCAGTTGTGGTCAGAATTATTGCCACCCTTGATAAATATGACCAAAGATGGCTGCAAAAATAAATCGTGAGTATAAATATGAGCAAATACAAAGGCAAAATTCTCTTAATCATAAAACCAAAGAATATAGTTCTGATGTGCAGAAAAAGATAATTAAAACCAAAAATGTGAATTAGGAGAGAAAAAAAGAGTTTAATTTCATGTTGACCTTAAAAACATAAATATGCCATTAAAGTATCAGATCCAGTCAATATATCAAAATCCAGATGTAAACATAAAGTCAAGATGTAAACTTAAAACAGTTCTTGAAACTCAAAATTAACTCAATTTTCTTATATCCCATTTTTTTTTCAAATTTCCTTTGGAAATTTACAAAATATCTTCATGGAACATGATCTTTCATTAATATCCTAATGATTTCTGGCATTAAAAAAATTGATAATTTTGACCCATGCAATGTATTGTTGGCTATTGCCACACATATATCCGCACTGTAAAAAACGATTGTGATTTTAACGGTAAAAGACCGTAAAAATATTACAGTGAAGAACTGTTAATTGGTTAACAGAAAGTTTTCGTATTACATACGGTACATTTAATGTAACGTTACTGTAAAATACTGTGATTGGTGGTTGACAGTTTATTATAATGGTACAAAACAGATATTAATACTTCAATAGGTTGGTAAATTAACATTATATTACACAATGAAATATAGTTTATTACTGTAAATTTCAAGTAAAGTCTGTAATCCGTGTTTTTGATGGTTCTGAAGTTCTGGCTGATTTTTTACCATAAAAAAAGATGGTTTATTTGTGATCCAGTCACATTTATAGTTATGGTTTTGTTAATGTTGTGTCTGTGTGAGGTAATCAGAGCTGCACACACACACAAGCTTTTGAAGCTCCGCCCCCTGTGCCGGGAGCAGAAGCTCATTTGCATTTAAAGAGACACACACAAAAACCTTTAAAAAGTGACAATTTTAACATGCTATAAAACAATATCTAAAACAATAAGAGACATCAGAGACTTATTTAACATCTTGTCCCCTCTCCTGTTGTGTTGGTGTGCGCTTGCGTGCGCTGTACAGCTTTATCCTCAGGCTGGGCAGGTCGAGGAGCTCCTGCAGCTGAAAGTGCTCCTGGAACATGTCCACGAAGCGGTTCTCCGGGTCCAGACGGAACCTCATGGCCCATAGGATGACGGTGTTTTCTGAGCTCAGGTGTAGGAAGGTCTCCATGAGCTCCTGCAGGTACGGGTGCGAGTACACCACGTCCGCCGCGATGATGTAGTCGTAGCGGCAGGTCGCGCGCGGGAAACGCTCCTCCAGCTCCTTCCCCCAGCTCAGCTCCGTCACGATCGGCTCGTGCCTGCAGCGCCCCCTGGTGTTACGCGTGACGTTGTACTTCAGATTGCTCAGGATATTCGGCAGGTCTGTGGACGTCACTTTTGCGCCTGCGTTTGAACAACAACTCTTAAATCCACGCTAATAAAACATTCATTTAGTTTTAAAGGTGCAGTGTGTGATATTTAAGAGGTTCTTCATGCAAAGAAGCGAAACTAAAGTCAGCAAATAAAACACTGACACAATGATAAACAAGTTACAATAATATTCACAATAACATCGTTTTACTGAATAATGAAGTAAAGATAATATCTTCATTTATCTTTATGAGGAAAGATCATTGTTTAACTGCCGACTCTGCCGTCTCAGCCGACGACATCACTTCCTGACGGCCATCGTAACTTCTGTTGGGTGCAATTCACAATCTCACCACTAGATACTGCTAAAGATTACAGATTATTACCTTTAAATGTGATGTTAAGTCATGTAAATAAAGTAAAACCAAACATCATATATATACATATATATAAACGATTAGCATAAATATTATAGCAATTGGCGTATTTATATAATGGTTTGCGCATTGATATATTGATTATTATATTAATATAATGATTAGCAAAATAATATATAGAGAATTTATAAAGGGATTAACATATTTATCTAACGCTTAGATTGTTTATATACCGATTAGTGTATTCATTTACCGAGTTGCACATTTATCTAATGATTAGTGAAATTATATAATGATTAGCTAATTTAGCCTATATAAAGATTAGAGCATTTGTATAGCGATAACGCATTTAAATAACAATTAGCGCATAATATAACGATTAATGCATATATATAGTGATTAGTGCATTTATATAACATTATTAACGCATTTATAAAACGATTAGCTAATTTACATAGTGATTAGCGCATTTATATAGCGATTAGTGCATTTATACAGCAATTAGTGCATTTGTATATCGATTAGCGCATTTATATAGCGTTTAGTGCATTTATATAGTGATTACCGCATTTGTATAGCGATTAGCATGTTTATATACCGATTATCACATTTGTATAGCAATTAGCGCATTTATATAGCAATTAGCGCATTTGTATAGTGATTAGCGCATTTGTATAGCGATTAGCACTTTTGTATAACAATTGGTGCATTTGTATAGCGATTAGCACTTTTGTATAGCGATTAGCACGCTCCTTGGCTGTGTTTTTTTATATATGTATTTTAGTAGTTCTGAATGTACTTTGTGTTTTTTTTGTTGTACTTAATTGGAATTCAATATATATTTTCAATGATATACATTATAATTGAGGCGGTGTCTGGTCCCTCTCACCGAGGAGGCTGGTCACTATGGTAACGAGGCCCGTTCCGGCTCCCAGCTCCACGATGCTCTTGTCCGTGAGGTTGAACTCGTCGCGGTGAGTGTCCAGGAAATGACACAAGACCATGGCCTTGAAGATCAGAAACAGACTTCAGTTCATGAGCTGCTGTTACTGCTCAGTGTGTGTGTGTGTGTGTGTGTGTGATGCGTACCGAGGGCCACAGAACGGCCCCGTAGTATTCCGACGACTCTTTGATCTTGATCTCCATGTCTGCGAACACGTAGCCTTCCCACGCTTCAGTTCTGATCAGCGACGGGCGAAAGTTACGCTTCATAATCTCTGCTACCAGTTCAGCGTCTGCAGCGACACCTACACACACACACACACACACACACAGTGTATTAGGCCCCGTCCACACTACTGCGTTTTCATTTAAAAACGGAGACCTTTTGCTACGTTTGCACCTCCCGTCCACACTAAAACGTGAAAAACGAAGACCTAAAACGGAGAAGTTTAGAAACGCTGCAGCTTCGTTTTGCGTTTTGAATCTCCGGAGGGCGTTTTAGTGTAGACGAGACAAAACGGAGGAGTTTACAAACGATGGGTTACGCGGAGGCTCACGCTCTGCTCTATGATTGGGTGTCATCAGTCATGACGTATCTTTCCCTGATTCGCCAACCTCTGTTTACACCGGCGCGCGCATGTCCAGTGTTGGTGAATGGTCACGTGATCCACGTTTTCAGTCGTTTTAGTGTGGACGGAGATAAATTCTAATACGCAGGTAAAACGGTAGTGTGGACGGAGATCGTATTCGTTTTAATTCTCCGTTTTTAAACGAAAACGCAGTAGTGTGGACGGGGCCTTAGATCAGTGCATTCGCTCTTAAAGTCACAGTAGTCCCTCCCTGCTCTCGACTGAATAACTTTAATAGGGTTTAATTAATAAGCATGTTTATACTTTATACAGTGAAGATGAAGTGTTATTTTACATTTGTTACTTTATTAAATTCCTGTTCCTTTGTTAAGCTTTATTAATTTGTGCTTTTGCTTGTATTTGATTATTTGTTCTTATTTTATCACCGAATGTTTACTTGTGTTTTAAGTTTGCAGAAGTTGTGGTGCCAGTAAAAACATTTATGACATCTACATTTTCAGAAGTCATCGGACATAAATGTCACGGGTGAACAGGCTAACGCTAGATTAATCTCATTCATCACTGACCCCAAAATGTTAAACCGTATATCATTTAATATATATGTATATTATCCACGGAATATTATTCTTATTATTAATGTAACGTTCCATAAATGGATCTGACTTTGGTGAGAATATGAAGCTGTACAGATTCTCCAGCTCTTCTTAATGAGTGTGTGTGTGTTTGATGACATCATGAGCTCTTTACACACAGCACCGATGGAGTCGTTCAATACACACGAGAATCCACATTTATTTTTAAGAGAAAAGACCATCAGAGAGTCATTTGAGTCGTTTCAGTGATCGCCAGCGCCTGCAGAGACGACCCGATCGCTCTGGAAGTGTGTGTGAAGTGTGTGTGAGTTATTCCTGTCCCGGAGGAACACACTCCACTGGACTCAGGCTCTGTATTTTCTGTTAAAATGACATTAGAAGACAATATATGCACACCCACCCTCAGTGTTTTCATCCTGATCCATCTGTGTGTGACAGCCGAAGGTCCTTATAAGAGCAGATCCACGGCTTTCCCTCACTGCTCTGTGTGTGTGTGTGTGTGTGTGTGTGTTTCAGGTGATTGACAGCAACAGCTGATGGGGGTGCCAGAGAAAGAGAAGCCCGTGATCTACGCCCCTTAAGAGTAAACAGATTCTCTCACACACACACACACACACACACACCCTTTAGAACAACACATGTCATGAAACAAACTACATTTAGGCTTTTTCAGACTTTTATTGTTCTTTTTTTTAGTAAATTCATCTTAGAATAGAATGTAGATGTCTTTTTTTCCCGCTGATTTGAATGTTAATGTTTGTCGTCATGATCTGTTTTTGCTCCTTCCTCTTCCTCCTCGTCTCCCTCTTCCTCTCGTTTGCCGCTCGAACGCAGAACGAGCTGTAACCATAGCGACGCCCCTCCCACCTTCAGCATCATCCTCTGAGCTGGAGCTGCCGGACTCCGCCCCCCTCGATGACGTCACCGGCGTGACTCCGCCCTTCATCTCGTGAGCCGCTGACTCAATGAAGCCTCCAGCTGACGAACTCCCGGCCATCTCTTCGTCTTCCTCCTCCTCTCTCTCCTCTTCCTCTTCCTCGTCTCTCTCTTTCCTCTTCAGGCATGTGACGGCTCTGCGCAGACGCTGGCTTCGGATGACCTGCTTCTCCTGCTGCTCCAGACGGAAGAACGAGTCGATGCGCAGCTGCGTCTGCACACACACACACACACACACTCATGTTTCTGAAAGAGTCTCCTCTGCTCACCAACGCTGCATTTATTTCATTAAAAATACAGTAAAAATAGTGAAATATTATTCTAATGTAAATCAGCTGTTCTCTGTGTGAATATACAGTAAAGTGTAATTTATATCCTGTGATTTATCATCATTACTCCATTCTTCAGTGTCACATGACCCTTCAGAAGTCACTCTAATATGAACATTAATGCTGAATAAATAACACTTGATTGTATATTCCCTATATAGTGCGCACTGGTCAGGGGCCGACCTGCTGGGACTGCATCTGCTTCAGCACCGGCTGCAGGGTGTCTTCGGTCCTCCTGCTGGTCCAGCCGAAGCGGCTCAGGCAGAACGTCACACACGCTAAGGACATATCCTGACCAATGAGTGTATTTCACTGTTTTAGTCTAATGAATCAAATGCAGATGTGCAGAACGTAACGTGTGTTCAAACGCAACTATGAATAGAGTGCCGAAGTGATGATGTCACTTTATAGGACGACTCGGAAGCTAGCGGCGCATGGGTTCCCTCGGTCGAAAAGCAATGCATTTTCCCCATAGACTTTTGGAAAATCGCAAAAAATAAGATCTGTGTTTGACCCTTACACGTTTTGTCTAAGTTAATCCGAAATGTATACATTTTGAAGCCTATATAAAGATTTTAAAAAACGCAATCAGACATAGTAAAGTTTAAAAAAACACAAGCAGGTTATAACTGTGTGTTCTGTGTCATAGATCAAAACGTGAAAATATTTCGAGGCCTTTATTTCAGGCCATTTAGCAAAAACCCATTCAAAAATCCCATTGGCTTTAGAGCGAGGGAACCGTAATGCTAAAATGCTAACTCACTTCCGCGTTTCGGCCTACAGAGTGACGTCGTAACTTCGGCGCTCTATAGCAGGAAGGATATTCTTTGATGAGCTCCAGGTGTGGGCGGCCCCAGCTGAACGAGGCGTCTGATTGGTCGACGCTGGGATGCAGGTACGCCTGAGCCACGGAAGGGTTGGGAAAACCCGGATGAAGACGAAGATTCCTCAGTTTCTTCTTGACTTTTGTGTCTTTGGGATTGGCAGCCATTTTCTTATTCTCCTGAGCCTCAGCCCACCATTCTCTACACACACACACATATTTAATGATATTGTGATAAAAAAGCACAATCTTTTAATATAAAAAAGTAATTGTGTGTGTTTGATTGGCAGGTGTGTGTTTCCCACCTGAGCTGAAGGAGCGGCTCTAATCCAGCGCCTGGAAACTCATTGAGGATCTCCATCCCTGTGACGAAGCCGACTCCCGGGATCCCCTCGGTGTAATCGCTGCCCAGCAGATACGCCAGGTTTATCAGTTTACTCCTGTCCAGACCTTTAAACATGTTAAAAATATCACCAAGAGGGCTCCAAGAGCCCAGGACTTTTGTTGCACTTGAACCACAAATCATTTTTTTTTAATGGATTCGAAGAGTTTTGTGGTTGAAATTTTAAAAAGTTATAAATCCTTCCCTCTCAGGTCAATCTGACCCCCTTAGGAATGAGTGGAACGCTTCAGTTCACTTAGAAAACCCCCAAAATGCTCAAAACTCAAGCTAAAAATGTTAAAACTTTACCAAAAGATGACTGTATGATGTCTACATGTGTATCTGAGTAGGGCTGGGTATTGAGACAAATTTCACAATTCGATTCGATTTCGATTCACAAGCTTGCAATTCGATTCGATTTCGATTACGATTCGATTCGATTCAATATTGATTATTTTGGATATCAGTTACAATAAATGGCAATTTTTCTCAAGGGAATCAAATCTCTGAACTAATGCTGTGAACTATGGGAGTCTAGTTGTAGCCTATAGGCTTCATTAGCCTAATATGAAGGTAATAATGAACTGTTTTGTAGCTACACAAACACTTAAATTACACTTTTAATTATTTTTATAATAAGAAGATTATATGAAATATAAACATTTAAATGGTGGCTGTCATAAAAACTTGCCAGATTTATTCAAATATGCATTAAATATTGAAGAACACTAACGAGTGTGGACTAACGAGTTTATGTGTGTTTTCTGAGGTAAATATGACGATACATTGATTACAAGCTGTTTAACTGACGTCTTTCCACGGTTGAAACGCTGATTGAGTGAATCAATGTGACATGATCCGGATTTGGATAAGTTGTACTGTATCTTTAACACACTTTCAGATGCTCATTCATGTTTATTTGGCGCTGTAACTGATATTATTAACCCGGAAGAGAGATCAGCGCTGCTGCTTCTCCAGAGCGATCTCACGCCACAGCGACAAAACACTATTTATGTTTTTGAATTTCTAAAGAAAATGGACGTAATTTGAAAATTGAGACTTTGTTTCATATCAATAGTAACAAAGGACAAAGATTATTGCGATTTGTTGGATGCGCGCAGCCGCGATACAATGATCCATTCATTCAAATGAAACAGGATGACTAATCGATTCTTGAGATTTAAGAACCGATATCGGTTCGTAAAAATGAGAATCGATTAATATCGAGAAATCGATATTTATTACCCAGCCCTATATCTGAGTGCACACTAAAGTAAAACTGCATTATTTTAGTGTCGTGTGATGTCTGTCTCAGACAACGACATCACTTCCTGTCAGCCGGGTGCAGTTCACAACCTCACCACTAGATGCTTCTAAAACCTACACACTGCACCAAATGTAACCCGATGGGCTCACCGAGCTGGTTCTGCATGTCAGCTGACTGGTAAAGCTCCACGTATTTGTTCTGGCTGAAGAAGTTCCTGTAGACGTGGCGTCCGCCGAAGAGCCAGATGTCGCTGTCGTCGGTGATGGTGCCGTGCGTTTGGTCGAGCCGGTCCAGCGCCGCACACTGGGCTTCGGCCTCCATCGGCGCCACCACGAACGGCACGCCGAACAAACGCAACAGCTCCTGTGCATCAGAACACACAGCACACTACTCCTTCAAGGACATGTTGCATTGTGGGACACGCATTCTATCCTGAATGTTCTGATCCAATCAGACTCGGAATCTTCAGCATCATTACTCCAGTCTTCGGTATCACATGATCACTCTAATATGATGCTCAAGAAACATTATAAATAGGAATAAATTACATTTTACTATATATTCACATAGAAGACAGCTCATTTAAATTGTAATAATTTTTCACATTTTTTTACAGTATTTTTGGTCACACGGAATGTGTTTTTTCATATTACAATATTGTTATATATACACACACACTACCGTTTGTGGTCAGTACGATTAAAAAAACAATACTTTTCTTTACATTAAATTGATCAAATGTGACACTAAAGACATTTATAATGTTTCTTGAGCATCAAATCATCATATTAATGATTTTACAGTGCATATACTGTGACAATTGCGTTATTATATATATATATATATATGTATGTGTGTGACCCTGATAACAAAACCAGTCTCGAGTCGCACGGGTGTATTTGTGGCAATACATTGTATGGGTCAAAATGATCGATTTTTCTTTTATGCCGAAAATCATTAGGATATTAAGTAAAGATCATGAAGATATTTTGTTAATCTCCTACCGCAAATATACCAAAAAATGATGTTTGTGAGTGAATGCTGCACAATCGCATCTTTAGATTTATTTGCGCCCTCAGATTCCAGATTTTAATAGTTATATCTCAGCCAGATATTGTCCAAACAAATCATACATCAATGAACAGATGATTTATTCGGCTTTCAGATGATGTGAACGTCTCCTGACCTGAGTCTCTTGGCACATCTGTCCGGTGACGCTGGAGCTGCTGCGCTCCTGATGCTGTTTCTGCTCTCTCAGGATCACCTGCTCATCCTGCAGCTCTCTGTCCATCTGCAGCAGATCCTCCTGCATCACACACACACACACACAAACACATTCCATAGGTGTAATGGTTTTTATACTGTCCAAACTAACCCTAAACCTACCTATCACACACACACACACACTCTAACCCAACCCATCACACACACGCTCAGAGGGAGCCTGTGAGATTTACCATGTCGATATGATCCCACTCAGTGGCAGCAGGATCTTCATCCACGGCCTCGTTGACTCCCTCAGTGTCCTCTTCCTCTCTGGGCTCCTCCTCTTCCTCTCTGGGCTCCTCCTCTTCCTCTCTGGGCTCCTCGTGATGGACTCTGCTGTGAGTCTGCTCTGCTTCAGACGGCTCCTCCACATCAGACACCTCGATGAAGCTCTCTGCAGAGGCCGGACGCACAGGTGTGTGAGGATACAGGTGTGTGTGTGTGTGTGTGTGTGTGTGTGTACCTTCAGAGCTGCTTTGCTCCTCCTCATCTTCTCCTCTCTCGGGTTTGTTTTCTTGCGTTCTGTCTGTTCTCAGATCAGACTGCTGGTTGACTGCGGCGTCTCGTGGCTCTCGTGTCTCTGTCGGAAATAATAAGAACTAATCAGTGTATTTCGGCTTCTTTGCTCTTGCTGTAAGTTTAAACATCACTAATTGTGTTTAATAGGAAATCTGTGTACCTTCAGAGCCGCTTTCCTCCTCGGGTTTGTTTTCTTGCGTTCTGTCTGTTCTCAGCTCTGGTGTCTCTGCTGCAGAACTGGGGATAAGAGGTGTCCGGTCCCGATTCTGTGCCTCATCCTCGTCGTCCGAGCTGCTCGCGATGACGTACGTCTTGTGTTTGTGGGCCGGCGGGTCCATCATGGCGTTCTGGATGGCCTGTAGAGTTCGAGGCGACACACGTCCCTCTTCATCCCCGGATCGGGTCGTTCTGCGTCTCGTGTCTTCCTCCTCGGAGCTGCTGTCCATCATGGCGTTCTGGATGGCCTGAAGAGTGCGAGGAGACGCTGGGGGATCTTCCTCATTAGCACAGGAGGAAGAGGAGGACGGCTGGTTCTTCTTCTCGTCCATCTCGTTCACGGGTCGCCACAAGGGCTCGGGTTTCCCTTTAGGCCTGGCTTCACGATCCCACGGGGAAGTGGACCACAGCGCTGGAGCCGGCCGACTCTCTGGAGCGCTGGCTTTCTTCGGAGACCCTGGACGATACAACAACAGAACAACAGAGGACGCTCATTGACCTATCATAGTAGGACATGCAGATTTTTTTATAACGAAATAATTGTATTCGTCAGGGATGCATTAAATTGATCAAAAGTGACAGTAAAGACATCTATAATGTTGCAATTACAATGTTATAATTAATGTCAAATAAATTATGTTCTTTTGATCTTTCCATTCTTAAAATAATCCAGAATTGCGAGATAAAAAGCCAAAATTGCGAGAAAAAAGCCAGAATTGCAAGAAAAAAGACAGAATTACAAGAAAAAAGCCAGAATTGTGAAGAATTGCGAGATAAAAAGCCAGAAAAGTGAGATAAAAAGTCAGAATTGTGAAGAATTGCGAGATAAAAAGCCAAAATTGCGAGAAAAAAGCCAGAATTGCAAGAAAAAAGACAAAATTGCAAGAAAAAAGACAGAATTGCAAAGAATTGCGAGATAAAAAGCCAAAATTACGAGAAAAAAGACAGAATTGCAAGAAAAAAGCCAGAATTGCAAAGAATTGCGAGATAAAGAGCCAGAAAAGTGAGATAAAAAGTCAGAATTGCAAAGAATTGTGAGATAAAAAGCCAGAATTGGGAAGAATTGCAAGATAAAAAGCCAGAATTCTGAGATAATAATGTTACGATTACAATGTTACAATTCTATTTCAAATTTGATCTTTCTGTTCAACAAACAATCTTGAAAAATAAAATGTATCAGTTTCCACAAAAAATACGATCTGTTTTCAACACTGATAATAATCATAAATGTGTCTTGATCATCAGATCCTCATATTAGAGTGATTTCTGAAGGGTCATGTGACACTGAAGACTGGAGTAATGATGATAAATTCAGCTTTATCACAGGAATAAATTACACTTGACTTTACTACAGTATATAGTCACGCTGATTTAAATATTTCACTGTTTTAACTGTATTTTTAATAAATAAACGCAGCTTTGGAACATTAAAAAGTCATAGTGATGCCAAACGATTGAATGGTCTAAAGCTGAATGTGTGGTTGAATATATGCCAAGTGTGTTGTTTTTGGCCCCTGATTTGTTATTTGTGATAATAAATAATGTGTTGTGTTGACCCCACACCGACAGATCCAGCCTCTGACAGTGGGTCGGCCCACACCTTTAATGAGTATGTAGTGCGACGAGTCCTCGGACACGAGCCGGCGCGTCTCCACGTGTTGACCTCTGACCTCTCGCTCCTCAGGGCCGCTGCTGCTCGGCGCGGGGTTCATCTCCTTCTGCACTCCCTCCAGACGCTGGTTGAGTTTGTTCCTCTGAAGGAGACCCGCCAGCTGATACTGCGAGAACTCACCGGACCTCTGAGAGACCAGGACATCAGGGTCAGAGGTCAGTCTCCTTTACTCATACAGTGCATTTACATGTTTTAAAGCAGCTTTTTTTTTTTGAAAAGCGCTATACAAATGAATGTGAATTGAATAGTAGAGCCAAAAAACAACATCAAGACTTTGTAAAAGGACACAATATGGGCACATTCTGCTTCTCCGGTGCGAATAGGAACGTTTAGATATATGTGCTGGAAAACACCACAGAGGAAGAGTGTGAGGAAGAGTGTGTGACTGACATCACCTCTGGCGGTTTGTGGAAAAGTGTGCGTCTCCTCTTGTTGAATTCCTTCATTTCCTTCAAGATTTCGTGTTTGATCTCCGGCGGCATGAGGGAAAACTCCTCAGAGTTGATGTCCACAGAGTTCGGATTGTGATAGATCTCTTCCTGTACAACACACACACACACACACACACATACACAGCAGTTTATACTATACGCTATCGTGGCAAAATCGAAACTTTAGTATTAACCAGCTCTAATCTGCTTAATAATAATACTAATACTTTTTATTTATCTTGTGCTTTTCTCAAACCCAAAGTGCTAATGATAACAAACTAAAGACAAAAAACATAAGAGACTCTTTAAAAGGCATGAAGATATTATCAACATTAACAGAGACTGTGTGTACTTTGAATATGAATATAAGATGTGATTCCCCTCACCTGAAATCTGCTGTAGGTCTGCAGAGATTCGTCTCCATCTCGCTCCTCCTCTGAACTACAGCAAAACAATAGGGTCAAAGGTCAAGGTCAAAGTTTATTTATATAGCACCTTTTAACAACACGAATGTTGACCAAAGTGCTTCACAAGTAAATCAAAAATACATGCGCAGTAAAACAAAACATATCAAAAATTCAAACCAAAAAGACCAGAAAAATAAAAACAGGGTTGGGTTTCGTTTACATGTAAAGGATTCTGCTTATCTGCTCACCTGCTCTCGTCTCGGTCCTCATCGGGAGGAAGTGCGGGAAGAACGTACATGTCATCCGGACCATCGCGCCTCACAGTCGACAGGCTGGGCACCGACTCTTCACTGCGGGAAACAAGAAAAAGAGTGTGTTTTCTTTGAAAAAGCTGTGAATTAAAGGAATAGTTCATCCAAAAATGGAAATTAGCACTTTTATGATGGACAGATGCACTTTTATGATGGACAGATGCACTTTTATGATGATAGATGCACTTTTATGATGGACAGATGCACTTTTATGATGGACAGATGCACTTTTATGATGATAGATGCACTTTTATGATGATAGATGCACTTTTATGATGATAGATGCACTTTTATGATGGACAGATGCACTTTTATGATGGACAGATGCACTTTAATGATAATAGATGCACTTTAATGATGGACAGATGCACTTTTATGATGGACAGATGCACTTTTATGATGATAGATGCACTTTTATGATGATAGATGCACTTTTATGATGGACAGATGCACTTTTATGATGGACAGATGCACTTTAATGATAATAGATGCACTTTAATGATGGACAGATGCACTTTTATGATGATAGATGCACTTTTATGATGGACAGATGCACTTTTATGATGGATGGATGCACTTTAATGATGGACAGATGCACTTTTATGATGGATAGATGCACTTTTATGATGGACAGATGCACTTTTATGATGGACAGATGCACTTTAATGATGGACAGATGCACTTTTATGATGGATATTATCACTTTTATGATGGACAGATGCACTTTTATGATGGATATAATCACTTTTATGATGGATAGATGCACTTTTATGATGGATATAATCACTTTTATGATGGACAGATGCACTTTTATGATGGATATAATCACTTTTATGATGGACAGATGCACTTTTATGATGGACAGATGCACTTTTATGGACTGCAAAACAGAGACGGCCATTCACTGCCATTATAAAGCTTGGAAGAGCCAGGACATTTTTTAATATATCTCTGACTGTATTCGTCTGAAAGAAGAGTTTTATATACACCTATGTTATGATACCTATAATACCCACTTGAGGGAGAGTAAATCATGGGCTAATTTTGATATTCGAGTGAACTATCCCTTTAAGGCTCGTACCTTCGATCCCCTAGAGCTGCTTTGATGGCCTGTCTCTTCAGGAACGTCTGAAGGAGTTTGTCGTTGGTCTGTCTGGACTCGCGGCTCATTTCTTCCCTCCGTTGTCTCCGGATCGCCTGAACATGATCAGAAGGTCATTATTCCTACAGTCACCCTTGCCTCGGGTCGATTTGACCCAGAAATCTCTTTTGAAATTTTTTTACAAATTAAGTGTTCATCGGAGGGGTCCAAGACCCCAGGACTTTTGTCGCACTTAAAGCACAAATACATACACACAAAATGTAATGGATTCGAAGAGTTCTGTGGTTGAAATTTTAAAAAGTTACAAGTCCTTCACTCTCGGGTCAATCTGACCCCCTTAGGAATGAGTGGAATGCTTCAGTCCACACAGACAAACCTAAAAATGCCAATGTAAGATATTTAGAGCTGAATTGAAAGGTGTACTTATGAAATTGTGAGTTATTTTGAATTTAAGTTGAGAGAATGTGAAGAATGTGCTTAAATTACTATTTATTTATTATACATTGATCAAGTCTAGTAATTTAAAGGTAAATTAAATAAAAAATAGCAAAAAAATCTACAAAAAATGTTTTTGTATAATTTTAGACCCATAAGGGAAAGATGTGTTACAAACGCGAGGAGACGCATCTCGACGTTCACGATATAAAGCTCACCAGCGTCTGTTTCTTGAGCAGCGGCGCGTCTCCATCGTACACGAACACGGGTCTGATGCGGAAGAACAGCAGCTTGCAGAGCCGATGGAAGAGCGTGAGGAGATGAGCGTTGAGAACCGCATTCCCGTCTCGATCCCGAACGCCTTTCACCGCCTGATTCAGCCAGATACTGATGTCTGTCACGTGAGAGTCATGGATGCAAGCTGACTAAACGTGTGTAGGGAGTCTGTGTGTGTGTGTGTGTGTGTGTAGATATACAGTTGTTTTGGACCATTCTTCTGCCTTAGCCATATTTCTAACATGCAGTCAAACATGACACTCAACAAACCTCTCCAGTTCAGGTATTTCATGTGTTCTAGCTCAAGCACACCTGGTGCAGCTAATGAGGCCCTTGATGTATGGGAATGTGTGTGTGTATATATACAATTGTGAGCTAAATTATTATTATTGGCAACATGTTCAGACTTTCAGCTGTTTGGAATTAAAAACTCAAACAAAAGTAACTGAATTAGCTTAACACAAACATGTTTCAAGTGGTTTCCACAACTGAAAACGCTACTTTTAATGACTCCTGCAGTCAAGGATACCGACAGCCAAGATCTTCCCCTCCAGTGTTTCCGGATTGATGGGTTTTCCGGTGCTTTCCAAGAGCTTCCACAGTCCATGAACTCCCATTACACCTGACAACAGCAGGAAACCATCATTGGCATCATCATCATCACCCTCATCATCATCATCATCATCTTTTTAACTTTCACACAGTGAAGCAGAAAAGAAAACATGTTGCATAAGAAAACATCATGCTTTGGCAAATTATAATTCTGAATGAATCAGGTTTCAGTTTCGACTTTTTATGTCATAAATATGTGACCTAGTACTGTAGTACATAATAATTTTTACCTCAAACTTTTTATCTCATAATTATGACTTCGAATGATTAATTATGATTTATTTTTTCAGAATTACGACTTTTTACTCAAACGCTCCTGCAGAAGAAATATACAAAAACAAGAAGATAGTGATAATAAATCTATTATTTGTGATTAAAATGAATCATTATTTCAACATACTACTTAATGCGTATTTCTGTTTCTAATGGACTCGTTTATCATTCACAGGCTAAAGAACAAATGTTAAACTATGATATTTTATAAAAATTTCACACAAACCTGCTCACAGCTTCACAATCATAACATCCGGTACCGGTCGATTCGCCGGAAACACGTACTGAGCACTTCCGTTCGGCCTCGATCAGCTGCTTCCGGTTGTAACATGGATCTTGTTTAAACGCGACTCTATGAGATACGTGGCAAGATTGATTATGAATTATGAAAAACTAATATCGATCACTTACTACGGTCATTAACGAATTCGTGATTTGACGAGATTCGCGCCTTTACATGACGTCATCGGTTCAGTAACCTCGAAGCGACGGCTAGCTGTCTCGTGAACTAGCCAAACAAACACTCAAAGATAAACCTTTTACAGTCTGTGAGATAAACTCGAGACTGTGTTTATTATCAGTACGTGTTCATGTTTCGGAGAAACTGATTGACATCGCTGGTAAGTTTGCTAGTTGTTTACAGTTGACTAATGTAAACGTATTTAATCGATAATGTGAGTTAATAATCAATGCTGAAAGAATCCGGTTTGATCAGATCAAGACAGTAAACCAGCTTTACTCAATTAATCTCGACTAAAGGCTGTTTATTATATTGTTAATTTTTGTCATCTGGGCATGCATCAAAAAATGCGAATAAAGTACGTTTTTGTTTAAAATTTGAAGAAATTTTTTTATTAAGATGTTTAAATTAATTTAAGATTCAAGTAATTAAAAACATATTTGTTTAAATGTTTGTAACATTTTATCTAGAATATCGCAACATACTGTTTTAACAGCGTTTTAATAAGATGTGTTTATGTTTCAGGCAGATCTCGTGAAGGACAGTCATGTCTGCATCTGTGGTCATCAAAGGTGAGTTTGTGTGTGTGTGAATTAAGTGTGTGATAACAGTGTTTTAGGAAGGCTTTTGGTGGTTTTACTTCATGAAAATTGCAGATACATATTTTTTTTCTTAATTGTTTGTATTGTTTGGCAATGGTTTTATAAAAGCAATAAGACTTATGATTTATGATGATGTGGCTTATTCACAATACAGCACTAGCCTCTCGTACCCTATTGCTTAACATGTAACATCAGCTGAACCTCTTACACACACACACACACGTGTCATGTATTATTGGACTGTCCTGGGTATAATACAAGTAGAATGCTCTTCTATGAAGTTTTTATTTCACTTAAGGACTTCTTTAGTAAGATTATGCCTGAAAAGGTTTTGGATTTTTTATCGTATGTTAATTTAAAAAGAAAAGTGTATAATATGACTTGTTGTTTGTTTGCCTGGTTTTATTGTATTTATATGATATTTGTATTTTTGTAATTGATTTTTTTGCCATTTAAATGCCCTGAGATGCTGACATGGCATTAAATCAAACCAATCAATCTCATACGCATGATGTCTCAGATGTGTGTGTGCGCGGCCCCGGCGACGGCATGGAGATGCACAGGCCCCCGGAGGCCCCGCTCCCGAAGCTGGCGTCCCCGAAGCCCAGTCCCAGATCTCCGGCGCCTCCGGGGGTCCTGCACCTGGGCAAGGTGAGCCGGGACGTGTGTGTGGAGCTGGAGTGTGTGAGGATCGTGGTCCCCCGGGCCGCCATCAGCCGCTGCGCTCGCGCCGGGCCCTACGCCGAGGACCGCGGGTCCCCTCATCACCACGGGGACGAGCCGGAGCCAGAGCCGGTGGACTACAGGATCCTCCTGGAGAAACTGCAGAACTCGGAGCGCCGGCTCCTGCAGGATAAAGAGGGCCTCTCCAACCAGCTGCGGGTCCAGACCGAGGTCAGCACGCACAACACCACTGCTGCACATCCGGCTTCAGATTTGTCTTAAGTAATTACATATTTTGTTTATAGCTTTTTCATTTTTTAATATAATGTATATTTTTAGTTTTTAGCATTATATTTAAATTATTTTAACCATTAAATAATTGGTGTTTAATTGATTTTTAATTACATATTTTGGTTTTTAGCATATTTAGCATAATATACATTTTTCTTTGTATTTAGCATTATATTATAATTATTTAAAAATGAAATGCATAGTTTTTAATATTAATTGTTACACTTATCTTTAATATAAGTGAATAATATTTAGTTTTTTCACATTTTATTTTTAAATATCTTTTATATTACATATTTTTGTTTTTAGCATATGCATTTTTTATATAATATATATGTATATTTTGTTTTTAGCATTATATTTAAATTATTTTTACAATTAAATATTTGGTGTTTTAATAAGTATCTTTTATATATTGAAATATTTTAGTTTTTAGCATTAACATTTTTTAAAATTAAAAAAAAATATATATTTTAACATTATATTTTGTTTAATTAGGTTTTAATGATCTTTTATATAACAATATGTTTTGTTTTTAGCATTTACGTTTTTTTATTTCTAATATAACTTTGTTTGTTTTTGGCATTTTTATAATAATTTAAAAATTAGTGTTTTTTTATTTGACAATTAATTTAATTGTTATAATTATCTTTAATTTAAGTGAATAATATTTCGTTTTTTTTGACATTTTTATTTTTAATTATCATTTATATAATTAATTTTTTTTACCATTTAATTATTAATATATATATATATTGTTTTTAGCATTATATTTAAATTATTTTAAAAATTAAATAATTGTTTAATATTAAATTTATAACTATCTTTATTATAATTAAATATATGTATTTTCACATTTTAGTTAATTATCTTTTATATAATCATATATATTTTTTTTTAGCATTTTAATTTTTCAATATAATTTTTAGTTTGAATTAATTTAATATATCTTAGCATTATATTTAGTTATTCTATCACAAATAAATAATTGGTGTTTTTTAGTATTTTAATTGCTTTTAGCATTTAGCAAATTTAACTAAGTTAAGTATTTAAAATCTAATTAAAAAATTGCATTTATTTAGCATGTTTTTTTGTTGTTGAGCATATTAATGAAGCTTAATATAGTTTTATAGCCTTTGTGTTGTAGCTTTTATATAGTATATTATATTTTATTTTGATTCAGTGTTCACTGATCCTGTGTAACATGAACTTCACTAACTTTTTGCGCAGAAAGTGTCTCAGCAAAGCTGCGTTTATTTGATCAAAAATACAGTAAAAACAGTTCAGTTTTGTATGTGAATATATAATAATGTGTAATTGATATGCTCAGGTGAACCGAGAGCTGAAGAAGCTGCTGGTGGCGTCGGTGGGCGATGACCTTCAGTATCACTTTGAGCGACTCTCGCGAGAGAAGAACCACTTGATCCTGGAGAACGAGGCGCTGGGACGCAGCCTGACACACACGGCCGAGCAGCTCGAGCGCATGAGCATTCAGTGCGACGTCTGGAGGAGCAAGTTCCTCGCCAGCCGGTGAGAGACGCCATGATGCTAACTAGGCTTGCTACGATAGTCAGTGTTAGCGGCGTTCAGAAGCAACACCTTCTGGTTACATTAAAACTTTTTTCTATAAAATCATTTAGTTCAGGTAGAGAACAGACAATGAAATTAAAAACTAAACTGTGTCTGCTTAATAAATCGTGAGCCGAACGAGGGTCGCAGCACAGATCAGCAACAGTGTGTGTGTGTGTGTGTGTGTGTTCCTGTAGTGTGATGGCAGAGGAACTGACCAATGCCAGAGCAGCTCTACAGCGGCAGACCAGAGACGCTCAGTGTGCCATTCAGGATCTGCTGCGAGAGCGAGACGAGTTCTCCAGAGACATGCTGCACACACACAGGTACACCTCACTCAGGCTGTGATTGACAGTGAGTGTGTGATTGACAGTGAGTGTGATTGACAGGTCTCTGGAGCAGTTGCTGGTGTCACTACAGTGGGGTCGACAGCAAACCTACTATCCCAGCGCGCAGCCGCTCAGCACCGGAGAACTGGCCTCAGCCAATCACAAGCTTGCAGACGCCATTAACTCACACCTGCTGGGGAACGTGGGCGACAGCGGCGGCCCGAAGAAGAGCCGGAGCCAGAACCAGAACCGGAGCTCAGAGCTCTGCAACACGCCGGCCGAGAAGATGGCCGAGAAGGTGCGGCGCTTTCTCACATAACTGCAGATCGTTCTGGTTGTTGGTTTAAACGTTTTCCTCATTGATTGTTGTCCAGGTGCTGCGGAGTCTCGACCCCATTTCCTGCTCTGACCAGGAAGTGGACACATCACCGACTGACCCCCATCATTCCCACTTCCTGCCCAGCAAGAAGAGCATTGGCCGCTTCCACCCGTACACGCGCTACGAGAACATCACCTTCAACTGCTGCGAGCGCTGCCGCGGGGAGCTCACCGTGCTTTAGCCGTCAGACGCTAGCGCTAATGCTAGTGCTTCAGGTGCCGAAGACAAACCCCTCGATCACACACATACATCAGAATGACCTCAGACCTGACGCAAGCTCACTGTGCTGCAGCCGTCAGACGCTAGTGCTAATGCTAGCGCTTCGGGTGCTAAAGACAAACCCATCGAACCCACAACGTGTGTGAGGTCAGAGATGGAGCTGTTCGAGGTTTGTTCACTCCTGTATGATGGTATTTCTTCACTCACAAGATGTGTAGCAGAACACAGTGAAAGTGAACACACACACACACACACACACACACTATCTTCTAAAGATGAGGCTGCTGATTTTAAAATATAAAAAGTGCAAGGTGTGTTTTCATGTCTTTAGTTTGAGGCGTGTGTGTGTGTGTAATGCAGTGTTTCTGGAATATAATGCGTGATTGTGTTTACGTGGTTTCATACGTCATCAATATGGATCCAGGTACTCGTGTTTTCTGTGAATCAAATCTTTGTTTTGAATAAAGCATTTTAGTGATATTTAATCTTATCAAAATAAATAATTTGGAATGACACTTGTTTCTTTTATCATACGAGTAAAAACTCTTATTTTAATGCAATGATGATTTGATGATCAGTTTGAAACGGTTTATGATTGAAATGTGTAAAATAATCGTGGCCAGATAAGATGATTTTCATCACTGCATTATGAGACTGTTTTCTGTTTATTTAATTTAATTGGTGAGTGATTCTTTCACAAATAATTAATAATTCAATGAATAAGAAATTCATTAATTTGCAAGAATTTAATAATTAGATAAATTAGAACAAGAAACTAATTGGAAAATGCGATAGGAAGAAATTAATAAAGGAATTTCGAAATTAAGCAATCCATAAGAAATTAGAAAGAATTGAATAAATAATAATTAGATAAGAAATTAGAATACAAAATAATAATTAGAAATTCATTAATTTGTAAGATTTTAATAATTATCTTAAAAATAAGATATTACAATAACAAATAATTAGAAAATTAATAAGAAATTAATAAGAAGTAATTAGACATTTATTAATTCATAAGAAAAAAAAATAATAAATGCATAATCCATAAGAAGAAATTCATGATTTTATTTAAAAATTAGAAATTGGAATAAAATAATAAATGTAATAACTACAAATTAATTCATAACAAATTAATAAGATAAATAATTTGAATAAGGAATAATTAGACATTCATTAATCTGTAATTAGAATATAAAAATTAACTACAAATAAAATCATTCATAAGAATTGAATAATTAGATTCAAAATAAGAAGTTAGTCGAATTACAATAGTAACTTAATAATTAGAACTGAATTCATAAGAACAAATTAGATAATTTCTTTGTCCTGAAAATTGTCAAAATGCAACAAAGAAAAAATTGAAAGCTCAGAAAAACATGCTTTATTGTTTATATATTTGTGTCTTTTTTGAGTGAATTATTGTCTTTATGCAGAATGCAATTTGCTATCGTCTTTTGTGGTGTGAAATATGAGCAGTTTTATCAGCCGTATGAAATAATAAGCATCTGAAATAATTTTATTGACACAAAATAAGCATCAATTAAGGTACCGCGTTACAGCATTAACCTTCCTCCTCCCACCACGTCTTTCTCTCTCGTACTCTTTTGTGCCCGTCGGTTTTGTTTTTCGGCGCCGTGGATTCGTTTCGAACGGATTGAGTCTTTCCAGTCCTCATCGAATGAAATCCGCAGTGTTTCCGCTTGGGCACGAACTCCAGCGCCGCCTTCCAGCTCCCCGTGTCTTTCACGGTGCTCAATATGCGTATCATCTGATCCAGGGTCAGGTTCTTGGCTCCACAGTCCCAGTTCAGATGCTCGTCCAGCGGGAGGCGCGCGGTGGCCAGCTGGAGGCGTTTAGCGTTAGCTAGCGAAACGCCGGACTGGATGGATCGGTCCACGATGGCGCCGACGACGTAAACCTTCCTGTGGTCGAACTTGCGGAGAACGGTGTGCGAGTCCGCGGTGAGGTACACCAGATCCTCGCGGGGAAACAGGTCCGCGGGCTGGCTCGCGGTGTCCGTGATTAGCATCCGCTCCCATGTTTCCGCGCCGTAGCGCTTGAGGATCTCGCGGTGAAACGCGCCCCCCGGCTTCAGCCCGCAGAAGTGCAAGTGAAACGGGTCTGAAGATCGCCGGTTGAAGCCTTCGGTCTCCATCAGCTGAGACACGGCGTTCTCCAACTCGCGCCGCGTCATGTGCTGCTCGTAGCTCATATCGTAGACTAGCGGCTGCCCGAAACGCATAGCCTGCGCCACGCGCCAGTTCAGCAACCGATCCATAGAGCCGCTCCAGAACTTCATGAGAAACGTGTTCCTCAGTTCCCGCTCTTCTCCGTCGGTGTTCCTCTCGGGTCTCGGCTTGTTCTCACGCTTCTCTTTCTTCGTGATCTTGTGCGCTTCTTTGATGGCGAGGAACTTGAGGAACTTCTTCTTAGCGGATTTGGTGGTTAGCGCCGCGAGATCTTGGAGCTGCTCGTCCGTGATGCTCTTGGGAACGAGCTTCCCGGCCTGGTGCCACATCTCCACCAGCTCGCGGTGGAAGTCCAGCGGCGACGGACTCGGGTCGCTCCGGTTCTCAGGCAGAGCTTGAGTCTTCATCACGGCCTTCCACACGTCCAGGTCCAGCTTCTCCTCCTCTTCATCTCTCCCGGTGGTCTGAGACGTGCTGGCGGATCTGAGGAGCGTCTGAACCGGAGCGCGAGAGCAGATCCGTCTCACCGCCAGCGAACATGAGCGCAGGAACATCACGTCGAACACCTGAGGAAACACACACTGAGACTGAAGAAATGTGACATAAAGGTCCTACTTCTTTCAGCCGAACACAATCAGAGTTATTGAACATTATCCTGGCTCTTCCCAGCTTTATAATGGGAGTGAATGGAGGAGGAGATTTTGAAGCCCTAAAATGCTCATCATCATCATAACAATAATCCATACGCCTGCAGGGGTTAATACAGGCCTTCTGAAGCCGAGAAACACATCCATATTCATAACTTTATAAACTATAATCACTGGCTTACGGTAACGGCCGTACACAAGTCTAGTTCATAGTCAGAAGTATGACCTCTGACCCCACGCTTGATGAGTAATGACGAGCACGGAAGAACAGAAGATCGAGCAAAACAAAACACCGGTCACAAATTAATAGTCTAAAAGGAGGATTTTTAAAAAGAAAAGTGGGAGAAGCTTTCGTTTTTTGAGCTTACGCTACTCCTACATGGGTCGGGTCAGAGGTCACATGTTGGGTCAGAGGTCACTCTTCTGCCAGAACGACTGTAACCGGGAGCCAGTGATTAAAATTTATAAAGATGTAAATATGGATATTGAGTGGCCCCATTCACTCCCATTATAAAGCTGGGAAGAGCCAGGATATTTTTAATTGTGTTCAGATTAAAGAAGAAACTCATAAACAGCAGGAAGGCTCGTGACTTGTAACACTTTTAAATGTTACTACTGGTTTCGAACGTTCAGAAAACATTCAAAAGTAACATTCCCATGTTTGAAGAATGATACAGTGTTTCCTGAACGTTCGAATAACCAAGAAAAGCCGTTTAAATAATTTAAACTGGACGTTCGTTAAATAAGCGTGTTATCACACACGTGATGGTGCAAAAATGTATAATAAAGACTTATCAGAAACTTTCAAACATCAAAATGTCAACAACAAACAACAAGGAAACAGCGAATATGTCACACGCATTGCACAAAAGTTTTGTTTTTGGGTGGAATTCACACAAACATCCCAAGACAATTCGCTTGAAATTAAATTCAGGGAAAAACATTGAAGAACCGGCGATATTGTGACAACTAGCCCCGGTATTCTCAATATCTATAATAACATTCACACACATACATCACAAATGTAAAATCTATATACCATCAGCTGTCGCTCTGTATGTTCACTCAGAAGTCACTGCCCGAGCCCTCAAAAGGACACACGCGGCTAACGTACATGTCGGTGTGCAACAGTAAAAGATGACCGTGCGGAAAACTGCTTTCGCTTACTTAGTAAACTAGCCGTCTGTAATAATTAGATATTTTAAAACATGCTTATATGCCCAAACGTGCATTTTATTCATGAATAGTGAAATAAGTAATATCACTAAAAGTAATAACACATTTATGTTGAGATATGCAAACAGTGTAGGAACTATTGACGGCGTTTCTACACGGCTCGTTTTTTAATGGTACACCACACATTAGTAAACATCCGCTACACAGACTGCACGTAGTGAGTTATAATCTATGGTTATAATCTGATAATTTGGTTCGTAATTCTTAGTGAATTCAGTTAAAGCGTCATGAGCTTTTTCCTTCCCAAACTGTCGTGTAAAAAAGAGATCGACGACGCCATTAAGACGGTGGCCGAGAAGGTTTTAGTGCTTCGCTTCGGCAGGGATGAAGACTCCGTGTGTTTGCAGCTCGACGAGATCGTGAGTTCGGGAAATTTGCTTTACTGTTCAGTTACTTGATACATGATACACACACACACACACTTACTCTCTCTCTCTCTCTCACACACACACACACACACGCTTATATTTACAAGCTATTAAATTATATGTGATAAATCGATTTGATGGCACTATTATATAGTTAATCACCTATTTATATTAGTATTTTTGCATGTTTAACAGCTTTTAAATGCTTAATTTGCACAAAAACATTTATATATAGTATACATATATATCTATATTATATATAAATATATATATATATATATATATATATATATATATATATATATATATATAAGTTACTATATAGCATATATAGTTTGTGTGCACTTTAATTCGCCCATGTTTTATTTTTAAATAAGGAAGAGTCTTGTAAATCCTCTTGATCAGCAACAGTAAACTCAGCTGTGTTTGATTGACAGCTGTGTTTGATTGACAGCTGTCGAAGACGGCTCATGATCTGAGTAACATGGCGAGTGTGTATCTGGTGGACGTGGAGACGGCGCCGCTTTACACCAGATACTTCGACATCAGCTTCATCCCCTCGACGGTGTTCTTCTTCAACGGGCAGCACATGAAGGTGGACTACGGGTGAGCAGCGCGCGCTAATATCAGATCCCACAACAGGAAGTGCTTCTGCACAAACAGGAAATGTGGGTTAAACTGAGAGGTTACGCTGACAAACTACATTTAAGTTCTGCTGAGACTGATGTTTCCAAAGACGTGAGTTTGGCAACAAGATGAGCAGAGCTTTTCATTGAAAAGCTGCTAAAACATGTGGGAAACATGCTAGCATCATACTATATCATGCTAGAAACATACCAAATCATGCTAAAACATACCAAAATCATGCTAGTAACATATTAAATCATGCAAGCAACATGTTAAAAATGCTAGCAATGTGATAAAACAAGTTCATAACATGTTAGCAACACACTAAATCATGCTAGATCAAAAGACATTATATCAATGTGCTAAAACATGTTTAACCAAGCTAGCAACATAATCATGTTAAAACGTTTACTATTTGTTAATCATGCTAGCAATGTTTCATCATGTTAGAAACATACTAGTAACATGCAAAACGTGTTAGCAATGTGCTAAATCATTCTAGAAACATGCTAATACTAAATCATGTTAACATAGGTAAAATCATTCTAGAAACATGTTAGCAATGTGCTAAAACAGTATGCGTTAGCAACAAACTAAATCGTTGGAACATGTTAAATCATGTCAGCAGTATATTAAAACTTTTAAGCAATACGTTAAATCATGTTGTTACATGTTAGCAAATCATGCTAGTTATGTGCTAACTCATGTTAGAAACATGCCTTCAACGTGTTAAATCATGTTAACGATGTGTTCAAATATGTTAGCACCTTGCTAAACTGTTAGCAAAGTGTTTGAGTGAAACCGTCTGAAGTTATCAGCGTCCTCCTTGCTTCTCGAGTCGAGTTATTAATGTCTCCACTCAGATCTCCAGATCACACCAAGTTCGTGGGCAGCTTCAAAAGCAAACAGGACTTCATGGATCTGATCGAAGTGATCTATCGAGGCGCCATGCGAGGCAAGCTGATCGTCCGGAGCCCGATAGACCCGCGGAACGTCCCCAAATATGACCTGCTGTACCACGACATCTAGCGGCGAGTCCAGCGCGGCGCTTCATGTACAGTTCCCGTGGAAACGACGATCTAGAGTATTTATTCTGTGCTCTGACATTTTTGTATATTTTTTAAATAAAGCTTCTTGAATTCACACTGAGCTGTGGACGTGTCATGACAATTCGAAGGTGATTTGACGCTATTTAAAGGGTTCGTTCACCCAAAAATGAAAATGATGTCATTAATGATCTCCCTCATGTCGTCCCAAGCCCGTCAGACCTCCGTTCATCTCCAGAACAGTTTAAGATGGCTTAGATTTAGCCCGAGAGCTTTCTGTCCCTCCTTTGAACATGTGTGTACGGTATACTGTCCTGGTCCAGAAAGGAAATAAAGACATGTGACATCAGTGGGTTAGTTAGAAAATACATTTTGGTCCAAAAATAATGTCGAAGGATTTCCACACAGAGGAAGACCAGCCATATATATATTTGAACCCGAATGCTCGGAAGTGATCTCTCGCACGTGTACGTCACTCATTGTTTACACAGAGATTTCAGAAGTGTTGCCTTTCACTTTGAAGATCTAAATATCGAAATCGTCTTCCATTGCGATTTGCTGTATATCTAAATATGTTTCGATCTTCACAGTGAAGGGCAACACTTCCGAAATCTCGGTGTGAACAATGAGTGACGTACACGCGCGAGAGATCATTTCCGGCGGATCGTTGGACACTGTTCAGTTGGACATTGGACAAGCGATTCAGATCAGTTGGACGTGGCTGTGATTACAAGAGGTAAAAACAATGTAAATTCTGTTCGTTTTCTCACACAAACCGCTCATTTCGTGTCTTAGGCCATCAATACTTACATTTACGAGTCATTAAATCATGTTTAATCTGGACTTTGAGGTGGTGACCATAGACCTCCAGTGTATGACTGACAGACACGAACGGTTTGACCTAAAAATATCGAAATTGAAAAAAAACGTGGAAACAAAGACACCTACATCTTGGATGCCCTTGAGGTAAGATAAAACATATCAAAAATTAATTTCAAAGTGAACTATCCCTTTAACTTCCACTTAACAAAACTGCATGTATTTACTCTAAATACATGCAGTTTTGTTAAACTGCTTAAAAGTTACATGGTGTACCTTTAATTCATGCTGTTCGTATGCATTAACTAATGTTACCAAATGAGATTGTAAAGTGTTACCGATATTTATAAGGCAACATAAAACACTATTTTCTATGGAAGCTTCTTTCTGCCACAGAATAAAAAATAAAAAGGGTTATTGCAACTTTTTATCTCAGAATTGCATGTTTATATCCTGCAGTTCTGACTTTTTTAACATGAAATTAGAAAACATAATTTTACAATTGCATGATATAAAGTCAGAATTGTGAAATATAAACATGCAATTCTGAGGGAAAAAAAAGTATCTTTGAGTGATTTTTCCTTAGAATTGGACTCACAATTGAGAGAAAAGAGTCTGAATTGTGAGATAAAAAATTGCAAATATCATTTAAAATGTTTTATTCTGTAGCAGAAACAAGCTTCCATAATTTTCAACCCATTTTTACTTTCATAAAAAAATGACTAGACGTTTCAACTAAATGTTTTTGATCATTATCCAGTATGTGGTGAGGTGAAGCAAGTTATTGCACGTCGTTTAAACATGTTTTTCTGTGGTGTCACTGATGAATCATTTATAATAAGAGAAGGAACATCAATTGTTGATTTAGTGTTGACTAAACCAAACTCACCGTGACAGTGGCGTTACACTGGTCTCTCTCTTGTATTGTGTTGTATATCAAGAGAAACGCTTCTGGAACGAGAACACATGTGGGCGGGGCTTGATTGTGTCTTGGATGGTTGTGGTTTGCTATTGGCTGATCTCATGTGAGTGACAGGTTAAAGCCCCGCCCTCATCATCAGAGAAGAGAAGAGATGCTGATTCAAGATTAAACATCAATTTAACACGATAATGATTCAATAATTTAGAATAAACACTGCAATATTTCATAACGTGTGTTTTCTGTTGACCATTTCGCCCTTTGTCTTGCGTAGTTTAGGACATTTAATACAATATTCAACAATATTATTGATCTCCTGCATTATATGAGAACTGAACTGAGCTGACGATGACATCACTTCACATGCGACTGTGATGAAAAAATATGAACATATTCTAAATGTTGTGTAATAACATCAGTTTTCAGTATATGTTAGAAAGGACTGTAATGATAAATATAATAATAGAAGAGATTCTTCAAGAGGAATAACACAATAATAATGATGTGCACCTGTAAATCATTTAGAAATGCTCATTCTGATGCAAAGACTTTATTATAGATGTGATCATCTAGACGTTGTTGTTCTGCTCGATGGCTCGGCTCCTGCTCCTGGTCATGATCCCGAAGGGAGTCGGAGGGGCTTTAGGTTTGATCATCTTGGAGAAGAAGCGAAACACGGACTCCATGCAAACGACGGGCGTCGAGTCGTGACACTGAGTCCCGGCGGAGATCTGCGTGCAGCCGGCCTTCAGGGACCCCACGGAGCGATTCAGAGGCTTCCTGCTGGGAATCCAGGATCGGGAGTGGGATTTCAGCCAATCGCGGCCGGCGCTTCCCAGCGGCTGGTGCCAGAAGCTGTGGGACGAGTCCAAGAAAGCCACGGCTTTCACTTTCCGCTGAACATCGTCGATCTGACGGCATAGAAGATCCACGAACGCCAGGCCTCCGTATCCGTGCGCGACTATAAAAACATGTTCGGGAGAACTTCGGGAAAGCATGCGTTCCCAAACCATCCGAACGTGTTGCTCGTGAGTCTGCAACCCCTCATTGGGATTCATCAGGAGAACGGCGCAGGACTCGAGCAAAGCCCAGCGTACATACGGGATCTGAGATCCTCGTTCGAGGCCATCGTGTGCCGAGAGTTTCCAACTCCACACGCCGCTCCGCACCGTTCCCAAATCCTGGATCAGAACCAGGAGGCTCCCGGGGTTCTCCAGCGCTCCTGCGCTCATGAACACGAAACTGTCCTCCAGGAACACTTTAACGAGCTGAAACTGGCTTTCCAGGAGGTGGTGCACGTGTTGGGTGATGTAGAGACACAGGCTGCGGTGCGCTCGCTCAGTGTCGCGGGCGTCGTGGAGTCTGAAGGGGAACCGGTAGGGCTCGCGGGTCTCTCGGTGCCGCAGGACGCCGTCCTCCGAAAACCAATACGGGAAATCGGATTGAATGGGATTTCGAGACGCCTCAGAGCACTCTGACATCGTGTGGGACCTGAGACATAATTATGCAAAATATTATGCAAATAGATTATAAAAAGGAATAACTTACACCAGGGCCGATTAATCGCGATTAATCGCATCCAAAATAAAAGTTTGTGTTTACATAATATGTGGTTGCACTGGGTATAATTATTTTGTATGTATATAAATACACACACATGCTTGTATATATTTAAGAAATATTTTCATGTATATTCTGTATGTAGATTTATATATAATTTATATTATATATAAATATAAGTATTTTATATATAAATAATATTTTTTTTCTTAAATATACATGTGTATTTATATAAATATATATATACAAAATAATTATACACAGTGCACCCACATATATTATGTAAACACAAACTTTTATTTTGGATGTGATTAATCGCGATTAATCGTTTGACGGCCCTAACTTACACTTGACTATATAATCACACAGAAAACAGCTGATTTTACTGTTTGGAATCTGAAATATGAATATGCAATGAATGGATCATGTGACATTGTGAAGACGATGCTGAAAATGTAGCTTTGATCACAGGATATAAATTATAATTGAACATATATTCACACAGAAAACTGCTGATTTACATTGGAATATATTGTATTTTTATAAAATAAATGCAGGTTTGATGAGCATAACAGACTTTTTTCAAAAACATTAAAAATAGTAATATTTTACAAACTGTTGACCGGTACTATATATCCATTTTTATATATTTTAATAATAATTGAGCATCAGATCCTCATATTAGAGTGATTTGTGAAGGGTCGTGACACTGAAGACTGGAGTAATGATGATAAACTCAGCTTTGATCACAGGAATAAATTACACTATAATATATTCACAGAAAACTGTTGTTTTGCACTGTAATATGTCACTATTTTTACTGTATTTTTGATCATATAAATGAGCAGAAGAGACTCTTACTGTGATGAGATGAGTGTGTCTGTTTGAAATATGCTATATAATCTGCAAATTAAAGCATTTGTTTTATAGATTTACCTGAGAATGATTACCTAGTTAAATCTGTATTCCGAGGAGTAGAGAAAGTTATTCCTGATTTTCTGTTCCCGCTGTGTTATTAATCAGTGATCACATGACAGGTGTCGCTGATTGACATGAGGGCGTGGCTTCATTTACTGCATCAACCTGCTAAATACTTAAAAATAGCATTTGTAACAATATGGAAAATGGAACCTTTAAAAATTAGATTATTACGTTAAATTACGCAATTAAGAGGCGTCCAGTTATCATCTCAGAGACTAAATGTGGCATGTTTGTGTAAAATGTCTCTTTTTATAGGATGATTTTTAAAGAGTGGATTTAAAATGTATGTTCACATTTTGAGAAAAGTTGTAGGACATTGGGAAATCGCACGCATAAAGCAAGCATGCATATTGTATATAATTGTATTTATAAAATGGAGAGGTTGTAGTATGTCCTGATTTTATAGCACTTTGCACGTTTTTAAACTTTTATTTATTTAATTATTTTCTTTCAAACTACAACCATCTGGAATAAATCTCGGTTAACTGTAAACATGTGGAACTTGAGCGCGACTGTTTCCACCGGATGACTTTCACCAACACACACCGGATGTTGATCAAACATGGCAGCGACCTTGCGGATCCATGAGACTCTGATGTGAATTTTATAATTGAGAAGAAATGAAGATTTTTACACGTTTGTGTTGTGTATAATCAGTCATGTTCTCAGCACTAAAGAATGTATTTTTGGGCTTTGCCCGGACATCAAGCCAGCCAGGTAACGTTAAGACAAATGATCTCCCATGTATTAATCTTTTATAAATTATTTCCTTTATTTACTATCACTAACGACATATAGTATGGCGAAACCATGGTTTTTGAACATGTAAGTTACATGGTATTCTTACTCTTAATACCATCTTACTAGTTTGCAATAATCTGCATCCTGCAGCATTACTGATTATGTATCATTATTAATAATATTAATATATACTGATTGTATATATACTTAACTCGCACCCTGGCTTATTTGGTTATAATAACCACTTGTCAAATGTGGAGGATGATAGTTTACCCACTGAACCTGAACTTGTGTTGACTAGTTGCTAAACCTGTTAACTAGTTGCTGAACCTGTTTAACTAGTTGGTGAACTTGTGTTAACTAGTTGCTGACTCTTTTCCTGCAGATGTCCTGCAGAGCAGCATGAAGGTGGTGTCAGCGGGACTGAGGTCTTACCCAGTTCCTCCAGATTACAGCGGTAACGCACCAGTGCTTCACCAGTTACTCCTTTACACTCGTTGGTTAAGGGCATTTCAACAAGCCATAGAGCAGCACTTTAATGTGATGACTCACGCTTTGATTTATATATTTTGATTTATAGTTTTTCTCCTCCGCAGACGTGGTTCTACCGGAGAAGCCGAAACTCAAGTTCCTGGACAAGGTCCCGAGTTTGAAACAAGCCAAGAAGGAGATGAAGAAGCTGCGGGACATCCAGGGGCCGGCCCAGAGCTCCAACACCTTCACCAGGGGACAGTACGGCATCGTGGTCCGGGTTTATTATTTATTTATTATGTTGATTGAATAGATTGGCAATGCAATTAAAAAAAAACCAATATTAACAGAAGGGAGGAAAATTAATTATGCAGATACTAAAAGCTACATGGCGTCCACAGCTGTATACTTATCAATACACATCAGTGCATATTCTTAAATATCAATGAACATACACACATACATGCCTATAAATGCAGGTGAAATTAGAATAACACTTCATGCATTTCAGTAATCCAACTTAAAAGGTGAAACTGCTATATTTAGCATATATAACTATACACACATAGTTTCAGAGGGCTGACATTTCTGGATTTAAAATCTTATTTTTTATTAATTTCATGTAATATTCTAATTGTCTGAGATTTTGAATATGAGCCATAACCATCAAAATTATAACGTTTGCACAACATTCTAATTTTTCGAGTTTCACCTTGTACTGAAATTTAATTAACATTAAAATGAGCCTAACCATTCCTGTAACAATTACTGTTATTTATATGTCGACCACTTTTTTTTTCAACTTTGGAATATGTGCTGCAAGGTCTTCAATAATCATAAGATTAGTGTGCACATGTAATACTCTGTGTCTGTTGTGTTTATGATTCTGATTCTGATCTGTGTGTGTAGGCTCTGGGCGGCGGGTACTTGCACTGGGGTCACATGGAGATGATGCGTCTCACCATTAACCGGCGCATGGACCCCAGCACGACCTTCGCCCTGTGGCGCTTCCGGGCCCCGTTCAAGCCCATCACGCGGAAGGGCATGGGTCAGCGCATGGGCGGCGGCAAGGGCGCCATCGACCACTACGTGACCCCGGTGAAGTGTGGCCGGCTGGTCCTAGAGGTCGGAGGTCGCGTGGAGCTGCCCGAAGTCGAGCCGGTGCTCACAGAAGTGGCCAAGAAGCTTCCCTTCCCAGCAAAGGTTTGCCCACTTCCTCTTATGCTTTTCATAAGCAGCTGTTTCTGCATATGGATTTGGCAATATCGTGAATGAGGAAAGGGTTGCGTAACATCATGCTGTGTGTTTATTCAGAGCACTGAACCGCTTTAAAAAGGCTTAAATTTTTACTGGTTATAAACGCTTTTCACATTGACTGCAATCATACCTGCGAAAACATTTCAAACAAGACGAATCTGATCTTTGACAAAAGTGTCTGTGATGAAAGCGAGTAATTATGCTTTTCATAACCGGCTGTTTCTGCAAATAAATGTGGCAATAATGTGAATGAGGAAAGTGTTGCATAACATTATTTGTAGAACATGCTGTGTGTTTATTTAGTGCACTTAATAAAAAAAAACCCACACAATTGACTGTAATCATAACTGCAAAAACGACATTTCAAACAAGATTCTGAACTTGAAAATGTTTGTTTTTTTTATGAGATTTTTATTATTTTATATAGAAATAAATGATGCATGAGTTAGAGGTAAATATTGTTTAGTATAATCATTTCAAAATATTAAATAATAAATATTATGGGACTAAATTATAGTACATTCATTTAAAAACAATTTACTGTTTTTTTTTTTTTAAAAACTTAAATACTGCATTAATTTTTGTGAAAAACAGAATAAATTGTTTTTCGATATTTGTATTTATTATAAAAAAATAAATGGTGCATAAATAAGAGGTAAATACTGTTTACTACTATGATATCCCCTCAAAACACAAAATATTGAAGAATAAATATTATGGAACTAATTTCTTTTATTTGCTTTATTTTTCAACTTGATTTTAAGCAGCAGTATAAATATTGTTTTATGATATTTGTATTATTGTATATAATTATAGGAAACCAAGAACTGATGAATGCAAAAGCATCTGCCAAATGATGCCAACAGAGAAATAAATGGTGCATAATTTATAGATAAATATCATTTACTACCATAAAATCCTCTCAAAACACAAAATATTACAGAAATAAATATTATGGAGTTAAAATATAGTACATTCACTTCATTATAAATTTTGTCTGTTTGGATCAGATCTGAGAAACGAGTTTAGTAGAAGAGCCCAGTTGAACGTGTGTGTGTGTGTTGCAGGTGGTGAGCAGAGAGAGTCTGGCGGCGCTGTACCAGGATCAGGCTGAACGCGAGAGCAATAACCAGAACCCCTGGAGCTTCGAGCGGGTCGCGAGGGCCAACATGCTGGGCCTTCGGAAAGTCCTGAGTCCGTTCGACATGCGCCATCACGGCCGCTACGCTGGGAAGTTTTTCTACCCCGCACGCGTGTAGTGTGTGTGTGTGTGTGTTCAGAGATAACACTGCAGAACTGATGAACACACACGCCAGCAGGATGTGTGTGTGTGTGTGTGTGTGTGTGTGATAATATTCAGATCAATATCACTGTTTATGAGTGTTCTGTTATTCACTTATCATCACACCTGCTCTGTGGGATAAAACGCGCACACACACACACACACACAGACTCATCACCTTTTTACTTCATGTTCTCTTTTCTCACACATGCTTTTGTTTGTGAGGAGATGTGTGCTGTGTGAATGTTAAATAGTATGTAAGTCAAATAAATTTGGTTTCTTTGCCGTTTGGGTTGTTTTGTATTTGAGACTCGATAGTGTATTTTATGAAAGCTCCGAAATAATTGGTAATTGAGTTGTTAAAATTATGACAAAAATGAATGAATATATGACATAACTCGTAATTGTGACAGTAAGTTAGTAGAAAGTCAAAATAATGATTGTGTGTCATTAAATCTTTGTATGCCTTTTTCGTGGGTTAATTTAAACTTTTCATAATTAGTTTGTACGTCATCATTTTCTTTTCATTATAAGTTTTACTTTTTGTCAATTATCGCTTAGGACGTCATAATACTGTTTTTCTGTTAGGTCGTTTTGACTTTTTATGTCATAAATATGATCGTTTGTGATTTACTAAAGCATTCTTTATTTCGTATGTGGCGAAAATGAGCTTCCGCATTAATTTTGTTTTATATAAAAAATTATTTTAAAACTAAATTACGGATGTGCCATGAAAAAATGTGTGGAAACGAGAACAACATAATCAAACAACAGCACGTGGCTCAAGCAGGAAGCCGGAAGTGTCAGTTCAGCGCATGCGCAGTTCAGTTCCCGCTTTGAATCGTGTGGCGCGAGTCTGCAGTTTAATAATATTGGAGGTGAGTGTTGAAGATGTGTCGCACGGTAGACGATAACTAAGTTGTGTATGTTTTGACACCACCAAAATCATATATCGAATCTTTACAGTTTTTCTCAACATGTTTTAATGAGCATTGATGTTTCTAACCTGAACGTGAGCGACGCGACTCGATTAGCAAACCTGTTGCGATTATTAATAAGCGAATCTGTGGAGACTTGACGTGTCGCGTCGATCATATGTGCACAAATATATACATTATAAATATACAAATATATACATATTACTATGGTACTTAAATCTGCGTCAAAGAATACTGTATGTTAACGTTACAACCAAGCTAACTTGCCCTCAAATTTCTGTGGTTTTCTTTAAATAAAATGAATATAACCTTCGTTTGACATTATTGATAACTGATAGACGGAGAAATTATATTAGTACAACGTCATTTATGATGTTGGTTTTACTTGGACGATCTTATGACATTGAGAGAAAACGTTCTGAGAACAGTTTGTGTAACTTACTTGATGAATGTTAATGTTTACCTTCTGGGAATATTACAAATAAACGTTCAAATAACGTTTAAAATAAACATTTAAACAACATGAACACGTAAATATCTGAGCTAGACATCTAATATCTGACATCTTTTATTATTATTATTTTTTTTTTTTAAATTCTAATGTAATTTTTTATTGAAGATGTATATAAACATAGGTAGATATGTATGTTGTTTTTGTTTTTTGGTGTGTAGAGACAAATAGATCAAAATGTTTGGTCAACCGGTTAATTAGTTATAATTAGTTGAAGATGGGGTAGGATTGAATAAGCTTATGCTTCTTCCAACTCCTTTTCGGAAATGTTAAAGTTAAAAATTGTTTTCTTGTTTTTTGTTTGTTTGTTTGTTTTCTACATGTTCGAAGTAAAACTTTTTCATTCATTCAACAATGTAAAACATGGTATGGCAACTTATTTGCCAATTTGTTAAAGAAAGTGCTTTAAAAAAAATCAACGAGCTACTGATGTGGTTTCCTTTAAAAAAAAATTAAATCTAGTAAATGCTCTCCTATTTATAATATCCATAATACTCTAAATATGTACTTAATCTGTAAATAATGTCTATTCTGATTTTAAGGGTTATTAACCTAGTTCATCCAAAAAATGAATGATCTTATCCCATAATTCACTCTCTCTCGAGCCATCCTAGTGTTTATGACTCTCTTCTTACAGCCGAACACAATAAGACTTATATTGAACATTATCCTGGCTCTTCCCAGCTTTATAATGGGACTGAATGGAGGAGGAGATTTTGAAGCCCAAAAATGCTCATCATCATCATAACAATAATCCATACGCCTGTAGAAGTTAAGACCAAAGTCCTTTTAGGCAGGTCATGCCACTCGGCCGCCATCTTGGCAACACCTACGGGCAGCTATTTCGGACTAACAAGACCAGGCTCTTGTCTAAATGAATTGGAAGAGAGTCAGAACTGCACTTTCACTGGTCCCCGGGACATAAAAACTGCATAGAAACAGCAGTAAAATATGTTAAATGGTTCTCTCTGACTCTGTTGCGCTGCACAGTTTGAAAATTGCGATTGTCATTGGTTTGTTGTAACTCTGGGATGTGGGTCTAGTGTAGATATAGATGTCTGATAGATGTTCTTGTGTGCAGTCTGTGGTAATGAAGCCAGCCCGCGGGTCCGGAAGGGCCTCCACTCGGGGCCCCAAACACCCCGCAGAGAAGAAGACCAGCAGCAGGCCTCACGTGAGACGCATGTTATTATTACTACTGCTTTATTGATTTTGCCATTGCAGCCTTTTATTCAACATTTATAAGACACTACACACTATAAACAACACCAGATGTAATGTATGATATTGTGTCACTAGCGTGATCAGGACACTATAGTTCATTTCTGTGAGTGAGGAGAGCAAAATAAAGTAAACTGGGACATATTACACCCAATAACTCTTCATACAGCGACTACCAGTAAAGATTGGGAGCAGAAATGATTTGCACACCTTGAGCTGATTTTAATGCTGAGCATGATTTCATGTGTCATATTGGGTTCTCTAACCCGAATGCATTAATAATGAAGTGTATTAAAGCGTTCTCTGTCCTCCAGGAGCCCAGAGCCGAGGGCCCCCGTGCGGAGCCGTCGAGGACCGGCCGCGGTGAGTGGAGGAGACGCCTGCGCTTACACACACTCACACACTCGCAGGAACTCATCCGCCAGAAAACAAAAAAATCTATGAGTTGCTAAAAACGCTTGTTTCCTCTTTCTTCTGATATGGTGTCATCATTTTTAACACTTCGTTCCAAACTCGTCAGACTTTCTTTTTAAAGTGAAACACAAAAGGAGAAGCTGATTTTTTTTCATGCAGTGAAAGCAATGCTCAGACAACCGTCACGCTCCAAAGAGTGACATGAAAATATACAAAATATACCCCATATTACTGTTCTGAAGCTGAATATCTCATAGACTCGTATGGAAGCTCGTTTCCGCCACAGAATGAAACAATTACGACTTTTTATCGCACAATTCAGACTTTATAACTCGCAATTGTGAGTCAAAAAAGAAAAAGTCAGAATTGTTGGATATAAACTCACATGTGCAAGAAAAAAATATATATATGCATGACATCTCACAGATTTGACTCTTTTTCTCAGAATTGTGAGTTATTAAGTTAAATAAATACATATGTAATTGTTAGTTTTTTTGCATTATGACATTATTCCTTTGACATTTAAGCGATTTTCAATTTTTTTAATGCTTTGACATTTAAGCAATTTTTTAATTCTAAATAAAAAAAAACATTGTATTACAGAAATGTGAGAATAATGAGAATCATACAAGAGTGTAATTTACACAATAAAGGCACGAGATAAAAAGAAACGAGCTTCCGTGGATGACTTGTGCAAGTCTGACGGATGATGAGAGAGTTGTTGTTTCCGGTTGAAGAATCAGTAAAATATGATCCGACTGTTTATCTGTGGTCGTCTTTATTTATTATTATCGCCTGATTTACAGGGAAAGCCTCAGCGATGGTTGGAAAAAGCTGGAAGCCGATGAGCAAGTCTTCCTTACTGGCTCTGGAGAACATGCTTGGTTTGTCCATTCTGTGAGTAACGTTGTGTAATAATCTGTTTTGTAATGATTATATGTCTGTGCGGTGGCAGATTGCTTCATCTTCACGGTCTGATAATGATGTTTTTATCATGGCTTTGTCTCAGATCTGTTCTGGCGTTGAAAAACAGAGAAAAAGAAGGATCGCAGATGCATCTCAACCGGATCAAAGATCGGTAAGAGACGTCCTGGCAAACAAATGTTCTTCCTGTAACCCTCATAGAGCGTTTGTTCAAGGTCATCAGGTCAAAGTTATTTTATAATGTTCTGAAAACAGCACATTTAAAATGAGCATTCCCATAATGTTTGAAGAATGATGAAATGGAATTTTTCCATAACGTTCACATATCCAAGGAAAATCGCCCTGTTATGAAAATGAAGCTTTTAGTGTTGTTTATATGCTTAAAGCGTGTGTAAGTTGATAAGTGGACAGCGTTGCTAAGTATTTCCTCCTTAAAACGGCAGTGAAGCAAAGACAGTCTCAAAAACACGCTTTGAAATCGTTGTGTGTTTCTGACGTCACAAACCACCTTGTAACCAATCAGATCACATCTCTGATTGGAGTCCTTAAAAAACTAAAAAGCTTGAAAACTTCTTGGAAAGTCCTGGAGTTTCATGAACCATCATTACATTTATCGTCCTTGGTTTGAACAAGCCTTAACTCTTTCACAATGTGTCCGCAGGTTCCTGGCCAAGTGTGCGCAGCTTCCTGTTCCCACAAGTAAGCATGGAGACCTCATGCGCGTGTCCCATCAGTTCAAAGCTGAGAGGGATAAATCCCAACACGGCAAGAAGACGCTCGAGTCTCTAGAGGTGACGGCCAATAAACATATTCTCAGTTTTAGTCATAATTACCTTGATTTTTCTTCTTTTCATTACCCTTTCACCCAGCCATGTGTTCACTGTGGAGTTTCTATCGCTATGGTTACTAAGTATTCAAACCTAAAACAATGATCACAGGATTCTATAGTGAACCCAAGAGATAAGGGTTCTACTTATGAAAAATATAAGAAAATGTGAATAAATATTGCAATATATAATATGTATAATTGAAATAGACATTATTTTATAATTTGTACTTAAAATCTGCATTATTTAAATATTTAATTTAGAATTAAGCGAGGTTGAAGGTACAAAGTCTGGCTTAGGGACAGGGGGAAAACAGTAAAAATCATGCATAAAAGGCCTCATATTATATAATAAAAAGAATGATTGAGCCATGACACATTTTTTATAGTGAAGTAAGTCTGACAAAAACAAAAAAGAAGAAATGTTTTTTAGATTTTATTCATTTTAAGTACCATAGTTAAAGAATCACCCATGTATGTTCAAATGGCATACCTATAGACTAAACATGTAACGTTTAGTTTGCACAGAGATGACTTTATTTTTATATTTTATAATTCAACGCCTGCACATAGGAACCTGTTTCAAGGTTTGCGTCCCGAGCACCAAACACTGTGTTCGTGTAAATGAGCGAGTCGGATTAAAGAGGTGGTTGATTATGATTTCACTCTTCTAGCTGTAGTTAGTGTGTAATGTTGCTGTTTGAGAATAAACAACATCTGTAAATTTATTAAAATTTATTTATTTATTAAAATTAAATTAATTTAATTTTAATTTTAATTATTAAAATTAATTTAATTTTATTTATTAAAATTAAATTAATTTATTAAAATTAAATTTATTTAATTTTAAAGAAATCGCTTTTTAAGGACTACAACAAACGGCTGGTAGAACTACACGCGCTTCCTCAAGCTTCTGTTAGTGACATCACAAACCCTAGAATTTACATAAACCCCGCCCCCTCAACACAATTTATAGATTATGAAGACAGAATATGCTGATCAGTGACTAGAAGATAACTCCACATCAGCAACATAACCTCATCAACTAACCACTTAGAGATGTCCTGTTGCTCTACGTGTCGTCCGACTCCGGTTTGAACATAAAAGACTAAAAGTTTTTGAAATTGTGTGTGAGGTCACATGACACAAGCTCTTGAAGCTCAGCCCCCTGCACCATTAGCTGCAGCTCATTTGCATTTAAAGGGACACACAAAAACAATGCGCTTGTTGTTAAAAAAGTGACAATTTTAACATGCAATAAAACAATATCTGTGAGGTATTTTGAGTTAAAACGTCACACACACACACATTCTGGGGACATCATTTTACATTTTATGAAAGGGCTTTATACCACCCCTTTAAGGGTGTTCTGTAGAGCGGTGTCGTGTTAGCGGCCGCTAAGTTAATAACTGATGATCTTTACAACAGAAGCGAATCAATCAAAACTAACTTTATCTGGACAATAACTTTATTCTAGATCTGCTCTCTGTGACTGTAATCTCCTGTTATCGCTGTAAAGCTGCTGTGAGACTCTATAGTGTTAAAGCGCTGGATAGATGGAGGAGACGTGACGTGATTAAGCTTTGGATCTGTTTAGGAGAACATGCGCTCGGTGGTCAGCACTCTTGAGGAGATGGAGGTGAAGATGGCTCGCTTGGAGGAGAAATGCAGGATAATGAGAAGCGAAATCGAGGATGAAGAGGAAAAAGCACAGGAGGTGATGTGCTGACACAACCCAGCAACTATATAGTCCAGATATGAGTAACACACATCTTTATTTGGTTACATGTTGTTTTCGCCAAAATAACTCGTGAGGTGGATGATATTACATACTGTAAGTATAGTCAACAGTGATTACAAGGTTTCATTTCTGACTGGGATATGGTTAGACGTCTATTAAATCTTCACTGTATTTTCAGAAATTTAGCGTGACGTCAGGGCTGTGTTTGGCGGCTGTTTTAAACGCTGGGAGCTGGTTTCGCTCGTGTCTGTGGTTTAATCATGGCGTTTGACTGTGTTCCAGTTCCTCCAGCTGTCGGAGCAAACGGTCCTGCGTGTTCCTGCCGTGTCGCCTCGCTCCGCCAATGAGCCCACGCTACAGGTACGCTTCACTGCAACCAGTCGAGTTTACTGTGAATGAGTCGTGTTTCGCCTCAAAATCAGTGATGACATTATTTATTTAGCAGTATTCACATTACTATAAGGCAAAGAAATGCACTATTGCGTTACTGTAAATATGTATGCATGTTAGTATTTACTTACTGCTTTAATGCTGATTTCAGTAAAAAGTAAAATGGAATTAAGAAAAAAGGTTTGTTGCGTTGCACACACATACACACACATTAAACTTCTCATTTGTATCATGTTTTTCCCAGCTCCAGGAAAGTAAGACCATAATCATTCACCTCAAAATCAATGACAAATGTTGCATGATGGCATTATTTGTTTAGCATTTTTCATGTGACTCTAATGAAAAAAAATCTCATTTGGAGTACGGTACATAAAATATATTTATACATGTTAATGTTAGCTTACTGCCTTTATGCTGATTAAAATTGCATTGCATACAGTAAATGTGAGACTAATGACTATAAAGAAAGAATAATACTGGTACGTGAGGCTTTACTTTGAGTAAGTCATATTTCAAGGCAAGCCAAGTTTATTTATAAAGCACATTTCATACACTGACAATTCAAAGTGCTATAAATTAAAATAATCACAAAATAAAAGCAAGGAAAATTAAACCGGTTATAAAAGTAACCAAAAGATATATGATACAGTTATTAAAAGAGTAAAAAGATGATGCATTGGTAAACTTCTCATTTGGCAAAACTCATATTTTACATCAAAATCAATGACAAATTAGGTTGTTTTTTTTTGTTTTTTGCATGATGCCATTTTTTCTTTGCCAGTTTTCATGTAACTAATGCAAAAAATTTCAATTGCAGTACATAAAATATATTTATACGTGATTTAAATTGCATTTCATTAAATGTGAGACTAATGACAATCACGAAAGAATAATGGAAATGACAAAAAAGGGTTTATTGCATTGCGGTAATGATGATTTGTGGCCAAAATATTTATTTTCCATAACAATAATCTCACTAACGTTTTGACAATTTTCACATTACTATAATGCAAAGAAATACACTATTGCGTTACAGAAAATATGTTTGCATGTTAGTATTTACTTTAGGGATGGGCAACGATTAATCGCTAGCAAAATAAAAGTTTGTATTTACATAATATATGTGTGTGTAGTGTGTATAATTAATTTGTATATAGAAATACCCACACATGCGTGTATATATTTAATAAAAATGTGTTATTAATAGATCAAATATTTATATTTATATATAATATTAATTATGGATAAATATATATAAAGTATATACATGCAAATATTTTTTTAAATATATACATGCATGTGTGTGTATTTATATATACAAATAATTCTACACACTACATACACATATATTATGTAAACACAAACTTTTATTTTGCAAACGATTAATCGCGATTAATCGTTGCCCATCCCTAATTTACTTACTGTTTTAATGCTGATTTCAGTAAAAAGTAAATTATGAGAATAATGGAAATGACAAAAAAGGTTTGTTGCGTTGCTTCAATTAATGGTGATTTACAGGGAAAATGTTTATTTGCCATGAAAATAATGTCATATAATGCTGAAAATAATGAATGGTCCGTTTTTCCTAATGCATAACGTAATTTCTTAATTTAGTCTCCCAAATAAGTTGTGTTTTGTTCGATTGGCTGCCATCTAAGTAATATTAATATTGATTTCATCACTTTGGAATTTGCATGTGGAGTTGCAAGTAGTGTCTTGTAGTATTTGATCTCTGTTAATGATAAAACGGTACTGACTAGTTCTCTTGAGGAACCACAAACACGTGAGCCGCAGGTCAAAGGTGAAGAAAAGGAGCGGTGTGCATGAGACTCGAGACCGGACCGCTCAAACACATCTGTCGAGCGCTTACATAGAAAAACAAGTAGCGCAATGAAGTGGAAAAACTGTGGCTCTTAATGCTTCATTTGAGGTTAAACAATTGAGAGTTTGGATGTTCTCAGACCTGCTGGTGTGTTGTGAAAACACAAGTGTTTGTCATGGTGGCATTAATAGCGTGAGGTTTTGACGCCTTCCTCACCACATTTTCACAGAAAATGTACCCGAAGTCCTGTTGAGAAACATGTCTTCACCTTATATGGGACCGTGACAGGGTTATACAGACAGACTCGATGCAATCTTTCCAGGAAAAGAGGTTTCAACACTTTAGAAGTGTTCTGCAAGTGCTTCAGTGTGTGCTTTTGTTAATGCAACTAGGATCCACATTAAAGGGGTCGTCGCCGGCTCGAACGGCTCACGAAAATCACAGTTCGGATCATTTATGGTTTTTGAGCCATTTTCCGGATCAGCAAAATACATTTATTAATCGATTATTACTCGCTACCACATCAAAAACTACTAGCCTAACTTTAAACATTATTAAAAACAAGTGAACAGTCAGTAATAAAATAACAAATACACACATTACAAGTAGAGATGAATACTTAAAAAGTCTAATATTAGTATTCAGGTACAGAAATTAATAATTAAGCCTAAATGTAAAATAACACTATTTTTTTCACTGTAGAAATTAAATATAGTTTCATCTGTTATATTCATTGTGTTGTTTTATGAACATTAATGACACGGACAATATTAGGCTGCCGTCACTTTAAGAGCGAATACACTCAAAGACATCTGTTTCGTTTTTTTTCTCAACTGTTGATTTATGACATAACTGAGGGAATGTACTTGCCGAGACGGTGTTTAGACATCAGTGTGTGTGTGTGTGTCCATTCAAGGGCAAGGAAAAAACAAAAGAGGAATCAATTCAGTGTTTGAGCGCTCTCACGCTCTCTCACACACTCTCTCTCTGCAGATGTGTGTGTGTGTGCACATATAATGCTCATAATGTCCTGATTTTCGCCTCTTCTACGTTTAAAATCGTTTGAATTAGAGCCAGACCGATATATCGGCAGGCCGATATTATCGGCCGATATTAGGCATTTTCTAAAATATCGGTATCGGCAGTTATAATAGCCGATAAATGAATATTTCAAAAATAAAATAAAAACAGACGAATCACGCTTCAACCTTGTCGTGAGTGTTGTCAAAAAGTGCAGGTAAAGGGATAAGCAAGCTGACATTGTAATTACAGTATAAGGTAGCTTATAACTATAAGGCAATGTAGGGACTAATTATTATTTTATTTATCAGAACTTTAAAATATTTTGATGTTCCTCTGTTCTGTTGAGACAATAGAAACAAGTTTCTTTTTAAAATGCATTATCATATTATTTTAGTTAAAACTCATAAATAACTACAAATAACTAATGTTAGGGAAATCTGTTAATATTTTGTTGCGCATTTCTGAAATAATAATAATAATAATAATAATAATAATAATAATCGGAATATCGGATTTTAAAACCAACAAATATTTGCATCGGTATCGGCCTTCAAAATCCTTTATCGGTCGGGCTCTAGTTTGAATGTGTAAATTGGCAAGACAAAACACGTCCAAATGATAAACTTTCCACTCTAAAGTGGTTAAATTTCATCACACGCGTGCGGATCCGTACACGTCACGATCACACACACACACAAATACTTACTCTAACACACTCCAAATTCTAACACACACACATGGTCTCACTCTAACACACACACACACACAGCAGTTTCAAAGTGTTATGCGAGTGATTCACAGTGTGCTTCTGTTTACTACGACTAGGCAGCAAAATGAACCTTCATGTGTCATGTGATTCGCCTGTCAAACGAGTGTGTTGTTGTTCCTCCAGGAGCACCTCATGAAGCTGGTTCCCAATCCTCCGGCAGTGGCGCGAGCTCTTCAGGCGGTGCCGGTCCTCGCGGACGCTAGGGCGTTTCTGGAGCTCGCGCACGAACAGGTGGACTCAGCACAAACCCGTAATCACATGACCTGACCGTCACCGCACGAGTCCGTTTCTCACGCTTTACACACTCACACAAACAGCTCATCGACAAAACAACTGCTCGTTTATTTCAAAATGACAAGTTTGCATAGAAATTGCATTCGTCTCAAGCATTAATGCAACAATATCATCAGATCTCATCTTGACCTCTTTAGTTTGTTCAAAGTTTTAGTTTGTATGTGCTTTTGTTTAATGTGTGCCAGTAAAAAAGTAGTTTCTACAGCATAGACGGTTTAATTTAAGTCTTCAGTCCAGCGGGAAAGCCTTGTCTTACATTTCGTGCTACAATAGTACATCACAAGATTAAAAAGAAAATCACACAGAATTGGTGTCCGAAATGCTTTCATGTTCATCGAACGGTCTCAGTCCATCTCTTATGCAGAGATTTGTACTGTATGTGATATGAGGTGCGCCATGTTTATTCCTGGGGTGTGTTTCCCATACACTCACGTAAGCTGTCCTCGCGTTTGTGACTCTCCTGTTCGAAAACTTTTTCTGAGTCAATTCGTTCGTTGAATGAACCAAATGACTCGGAAAAAGATTCGTTCATTTTGATGAACAGGAGAGTCACGAACGCGCGTCATAGAACAGAGCAAGGCGAGCATTTGAGCTTATAAAACTTAAACATTGTTATTTATTTATTAAATGAGCGATCGTTTCGCTTGATAAGACCCTTATTCATCGTCTGGAATCGTTTAAAGCCCTTTGAACAGTTTGCACCGAAACTGTCTTTTGGACCCCATTGAAGTCCATTATATGGAGAAAATCCTGGAATGTTTTCATCAAAAACCTTAATTTCTTTTCGACTGAAGAAAGAAGCACATGGACATCTTGGATGACACGGGGGCGAGTAAATTATCAGCAAAAGTTTTTTTTAAAAGTGAAATCTCTCGACAAACTAAACGATCTAAATTACATTTATATGTATTCTAAATAAAATATACAGATTGCACTGAATGTCAGATTGCTTATGAGTCTTGCAGAGAAACTGCTTCTAACCGCAGCTCGAGATCTGTCGCTCACACACACTCGTTTGCGAATGTTTGTTGGAACGATGGTTTCGGGAAACACCGACTCGTTGAACTGATGATAACGACAGAACATGTCACCATAGTTGGATAACGATGGTTTCGGGAAACACTCCTGGTTGGTTATCCAATTTTTGTCGTAGAGATCGGCCTCTTCAAGCTCCACTAAAACTGAGAGTCTCTCCTTCGTAAAGACTTTCTCCGTATAGACTCGGATAATTCCTCATTGAAGACTCGCTCGATCGTGGAGAGAAGTGACGCACGAACGGTGCGTCCGAGTCCACGAGCCGCGAACACGTACATGACGGGGTTGAGCGCACTTTTTATGTACACTAGAAACAGCGCTACGTAAGCGCCTCCAATCGCTCCTTCTCTGACCTTCTCCCAGTCCGGCCGATCGAATGTAAGAGCCCTTATAAAGCGGCACGTAAAGTAAGGCACCCAACAAGTGAGAAAGAGGAGCATTGTGAGGAAGAGGACCCGGTAGAGACGAGTCAAACGCTGGGATGTGTAACTGGGTCCGGATGACGAGGTTGGCGAAGACACGGTGCTTTCGGCCTTCTTCGCGCAAAACACCACCGCGATATTGCAGGACAAGAAGATCACGAGTGGCAGCAAGAATCCTGCTACGGTTTCCACAACTACTAAAGCTTGTCCTATTCCCATATCGCTTTCGATGCATGCCGTACGGTTCTCCCAGGGAATGAGTTTAGCCGTGCCGATGTAAGGTCCCGCCAATGCCGCGGCTAACACCCAAATACAAGCGCAGGCTACCGGCACGGCCCACCGAGGGCGCTTCAGTCGCGCCCAAACTGGTCTCAGCAGACACAAGCAACGCTCCACCGCGACGGCGCACAGCAAGAACGCGCTCGCGTACAATCCCAGGCAGCGTAAGTAAATAACCAGCTTACACACAGGCTCCCCTAATGTCCAAGTGAAGTTGTTGGCTAAGTAATCTAGCATCAGTGGCGTACGCAACAGCAGCACCAAGTCCGCAAGCGCCAGGTTCACGACGTAAATCCGAAAGCTGTCGGCGCTTTGTGTCTTGCCGCATTCTCCTTTGTTCCGGCTCAGGACTCGAACCCCCAACGCCCAGACCACCAGACCGTTCAGAGAAACGCCCACGATGAAGATCGCCACGGTCACGATCATCTGCAGGACCCGCAGGCCGTCGCTGGGGTAGATGGTGGGGTGGGACGCGTTCATCGGTGCGCTGGTAGACATTGATTCTCTGTGAAAATACAATAACACATGGTGTATCTTTATTGTAAGCATTAATACAATCCATACCAGTGTTGTAGTACTCGAGACTCGGACTCGGCCTCGAGACCATATTTTAATGGTCTTGGTCTTGTCTTGGACTCGTGTGCATTTGGACTCGGAATTGACTCGTACTCGAACATTTTTTTTTTTAGGACTCGGACTTATTCCCGAGTCCACTCGAGTCCAATTCAAAATATTTTTCATGATTATTAATGTATGTTAATAAAATATTTTAATTGATTGACACGCCCAGTGATTGGTGATTTTCTAGTGCGCAACTGCGCATGAAATTGTAATAAAATTACTTTTAACACCACCTACTATGTGGCCTTTTTACCCTAAACGGATCATATTTTTTAAACTAAGTAAATTCAGTAAAAAAAAAAAAAGGATTTCTCTAAGTAAATAAAAGTAAATTAGGTAATCAACCCTCACTGGTCTCGGACTCGACTCGGACTCGACCGTCTCTGGTCTCGGACTCGACTCTCTATGGACTCGGTCTTGACTCGGACTCGACTCTCTCTGGTCTCGGTGTCGACTTGGACTCGAGTGAGGTGGTCTCGACTTCAACACTGATCGATACAATCGGTTCCCCCAATAGTCACGTCTCCTTCATCTATACAGCGCTTTAACCCTATAGAGTTTCAGTGCCAACAGGAGATTACAGTCACAAGCCATGTTTCCATCGACACGTTTTTATCCGAATTGAGTGATATCGAATGAAAAATGCCTTATGGAAACAGTAAAATTCGATGAAATTTCATGAAAATCGACTCCAATGAAATTTGGATTTTATCTTGATCGATATACGGCTAATGCGATAAAAGCTGATGGAAACGTTATTTGCCGAATAAATAATGAATTGCGATTAAGTTTTATGCCCTTTTATGGTTGCAACACGTCAGAAGACGAGTTCATTTCCGGTCTGTTTGCGCACACATGGCGGATGTCAACAAAGACAGATGTAACGTGGACAAAGCAAGATGCTTCAACCAAAGGGTTTCCGTGAACCACGATCTCCCAGAACTGATAGAGCGCTGTCGTTCCCACACCACAGTCACCTCCGCTGTCGTCGGGCATTAACGGGCATCGCATCATCATAGCAATGTTTATAGCGTTGCTGTTTTCTTAGTTTAGTTTTGCTTGTTTTTACGTGGCTTGGTTGAATTGTAATGTAGAATGTGGCCATGGACGCAGTTCAGAGACGGAACAGACTATTTTCTTTAGCAGAAGCAATACTCGTTTTTAAATCAATAAACTCGTTTTTAAGTCAATATTTTGTGTCAAATTATTGATTTATTTATTTATTTGGTTGATTTATATGTAATAAGCAGGATAATATATAGCGATAGCGAATACAACCCCTTCAACAACCGCCTCGCATACGTTATCCCATTCATATGTCGCTATCAGCTGGCACATAAGCGTTATTAGACTTCAACTTGTGAAATATTGATCATTTTTCGGTCCGTTTTGTCTAACAAAACTTTGTTCGCAAAAGTTTGCTTGAATGTTCTTCGATTCAGTGCGAAAATAAATGGAAACACCTTAAAATGTCTCGAATCAATTCGATTTACCAATTTGATCGCAAAACAGCATGTGACGTCATTACGAACAGTTTTTTATTCGCTTTAAAGCCGTTGGATGGAAACACACTTTCACCAGCTTTATCCGCATGAGTTTTTTAACCGAATTTCAGATAATTCGATTGACAAGTGGATGGATACATGGCTACAGAGAGTGTTTAGGCTTTACAGCAAGTTATTGTCCAGATAAAGTTAGTTTTGATTGATTCACTTCCGTTGTAAAGATCATTAGTGATTAACTTAGCGGCCGCTAAAGGCCAATTTATACTTCTGCGTAGGGGGCGCGCAGTAGGTACGGTGTAGTATACGCACAGACGCGTATCATAACGCGTTCCCTTCGCCATCGCCTGACCCGCACCTCTTCAAAAACTACACGTCGCGATGACGCGGACCACAAGATCGGTGATTGGTTGGCTTGGTAGCATCGCATTTCCTCCTACGCATTTCCGCACGTACCATCTCCGACATCTTCTCTCATTTCTGCCTTTAGTTTTAGTAATTTCACTCAATAAGCTCCAACTCCAACATGATCCGCTCTCTTTCAGTCGCCATTGCTTGTAGTAACCTAGCCGTGAGGAATCTAAACACAGTGGAGCATTAAAACCCTCCGCCGCCAACTAGCGTTTTGGAGTAGTACTGCACAGCAACCGAGACCTGAGCGCAGAAGGTCTAAGTATAAATGCTCACGACACTACGGCATACCCTCGACGCAGAAGTATAAATTGGCCTTAACACGACACCGCTCTAATGGTGTGTTCACACCGAACGCAAATAGAGCGTCAAATATGCGCCTATCCTGTCTAGTTAGACACTTTGAACCCATTCGCGCGTCTGCGTCACTTGCGAATAAAAAAACAACACAATTTCTTTCTAGCTTACATTTCCGTCATGTCTAAAATAAAATATATTGCTGCTCTGGACCGGACGTATAAATTAGCTCTTTTTTGATTGGCTGGCACAACAAAGCATCACGCGAATCTTCCGCTCGACAACTTACGCGAAAGACGATCGAGGCAAACGCGTCGCCCAATTCACGTCTTTCGCGACGCCTGACACGAATGATGCGTCTATTCGCGTCTTTGCATTGACTTTGGATGCGCACAAATAATTAAATTTGCGTTCGGTGTGAACACACGCAATAACATCAATATACGAGTATGACAACAACAATGCGCAATAACATCAGCGCATTGCTAGACATTGATTCTCTGTGAAAATACAGATGAGACGAGTTCACATACAGTCGTCTCCAATCATACGTGGATCTTTATCGTAAGCATTTCACTCTCACCCGGCGCGACGCTAGTGTTTTTTTGCTAGTTTCAGCCTGACGCAATTTTCATTTTCACGTCCTGCACCACCTCGTTTAAATAGCAAATGCGTTTGCGCCTATTTGTGTGCCCATGTTACTTGTAACATCAAAAACGTAATCTGATACTCTTGTTGCA